CAACATATTGGTTACACAGAACAAGTCATACTATGAGAGTAAATTATTTAAACATAAATTATGATTCATCACATCACTGCACATTAATAATGCAGCAAGTCAATTGACAGAATTGCATCTGATATCTGATATTCTCTTAGGGTACTCATCTCTATCACTTTCACAATGCTTCCAGCTGCTACAATTAAAATGCAAACAACGACCACTTCAACAACAACTTGCATTTATATAGCACCCTTCACCGGGGTAGATTCCAGGAGCACTTGTCCAGAACGCTATAACTTGCACACACTTATAATTCGTTTAAAATGGGATTGGAACTATTTATTTGATATATATCAATTATGTTTTTACATTAATCTGAGAGCAATGTCCTCTCGTTTCAGAGACCTTTTTTCTCTGCCCTTTCTTTTTCACCAGCAAAATCATCCCTAGGAACAAGGCTAAGAAGTTGGGCAGACTGATCGACCACTCTATGGTGAGTTACAAAGTTGTGTATGAGGAGGATATTCCCTACCTGTACTTGGTACCTACGATGTGCCAGGACCTCACTTGGGCAAAAGTTGCAAGTTCATCCGATTTGAAAAGTATTTCTTTTTAAGCAAGTTTGCTCCCAGCAATAACAACTGGTTCATTGGTAAAGGTCGAGTAGCTCTTTTTCACTTTTAACCAGAATCATTTAAATGATTTCACATTGCATTCAGTTGGATGGTTTATTACCAACAGTATAACATTTCTGAAAGGAAATACTCGTTGGCACTCATTATTTTAGTTTACAATCGAATTTCTTTCCTCTCCAGTCCTGGAAGTCTTCAGATTACCACCACAACAACATTTGAATAAATTTGTTGCACCTTTCACATCGGAAGCACGTCCCAAGGCGCTGGACAGTCAAAGATTTGCACCCGAGCTGGGGGTTGGGATCAGGAGGGGTGGAGAGCAGAGAGGGTGGAGACATAAAAGACATTCTCATATACTTTGTCACATTGTTGTCATACTTAGTTCCAAGACACTATTATACGGTAATGAGCAGAGTTATCAGATTGACTTTGATGAGAAACTTATCATTAATGTTCTTTTGAGATTTTAAGTGGTATGAGTGAGCTGCTTTATTCAGCATGGTGCTCTTCAAACAATGTATTGTAATCAGTTCCTAGGCTGATAACTTTGGTAGATTAATTTCTGTTTATGAAAGCTTCATAACTTTACAAACAGAATTACATTTAAGATTGGGAAATCTTGGTGGATTCATTCACTACCTTTATGGCAGGTATAAAACCCTGATGATCTTTGATCAAAAGTATCCATTGAAAACTCTTCCCCAGCAAAACGTTTTATAACATTTGGACCTTGTTGATAGATTTATTTCAATATCGATGGAGTCCTGGTCAAATGATGCCAACATTTGCTTGGACGTTGTTCATTGGGAGAGTACAGAGAGGAGGCAAAGGGCACTTTGGTTTATATCACTTCTCCTCAACTAAAGTAATGTACTAATGCAGCTTACACTTGTAGTGTTTTAAACAGGAGCTCAGATTATGCTCCATTGTGTATTTCAAGGTGTGCAGCCAAAGGATTTCCTGCAGCCCATGTCTAAAATCTACTGTCAGGTGGATTTGAGGTACAAAGGGTTAGTGTGGGAGGGAAGAACCTCTGTTTTCCTCGCAGAGGCAAATAGAGTGCAGCCCTCCTCAGGGATTGCACACTGCAAAACTGACAAACAGTAACTGCTGTTCTCAGTATCTGGACCTGGAATCAACAAGGGAATTCTCTGTATAGCAGACTTCTGACAGCAAAAGAAGACATTAATCTTTCTCCCCATCTTCTGGCTAAGGTTCCAAGGACAACAAAAACAACAAATTACACTTGAGTAGTCCCTTCATGTCAGAAAGATGTCCCAGGGTGCTGGACAGTCAGTGATTTTTGGACCTGAGCTTGGACTTGGGGTCAGGAGGGGTGGAGGGCGGGGGTGGGGTGGGGGGGGGGGGTGGGGGTGGGAGGGTGGCCAAAGGCACGGTTGTAGAGGAAGGTCTTTAGATGTGACTTGAAGGAAGCAAGAGAGGGGGTCAGACAGAGGGATTGTGGGATAGACTTCCAGAGTGTGGGGCCAGAGATGCTGAATACTCGACCGCCATTGGTGGGGTGGGAAGTACAGGGGACCTGAAGCCGGACGGTGTCTGCCGAGTGGACAGAGCAGACCGATTGATATGGGGTTAGGAAGTCGGAGAGGTAGCGGGGAGCAAGACTGGGCTTTGAAGGTGAGAACAAGGGTTTTGTATTCAATTGTCTGAGGAATGGGGAGTTAATGAAGCTGGGCAAGAACGGGGGTCATAGGTTTCTGGAGCCTGGTGTGGGAGAGGACACAAGCTGCAGAGTTCTGAATAATCTGCAGTTTGTGGAAAGAAACGATGGGAAGTCCAGCGAGCAGCCCATTGGCGTAGTCAAGCCAGATTCCCTACATTACCTTGCACCAGCAACCATTATTTATGTATAGATCTTGATAATAAGTGTCAGCAGGCTATTTGACTTCAAAATACATCACATCTGAGAGTATCCTGTTCACATGCATCCATGTGCATCCAAAAGGAGAAGTGAGGATCTTGTCTGAGTTCTTTCTTCCATAAGCTGCTGGTGCTGCCCACTTTTTGTCCGCCAACTCACTGTAGACTCTGGATTGAACCTTCCTGATCCGTGTGACTCCACCATAACCCAATTGAACTCATTGAACCAGCAGGGAAGCCTGACTGAACTCTGAAACACATCATAAAATGATCAACATTCATTTAAAACAAACATATACTTAATATATTTGCTGAATACGAGAAAAAAAGGAACTTGAGCAATAAGTAGCAAGGAGTCAAACACTCAGCTGATCTAAGTTCAGAAAAAAGCAAATCAGTAGTAAACAATCATTAACAAATATGGATGTGTTGGAAAGAAGTGTTGAAGTCCGACACATAACACAAACCGAATCTCAGATGGGAGTCCAATATATGAGCAGTGGAAAGATATAAGTTGGACAGCAGAAGGAGAAGGGCACCCCTGGAGAATCGAGTCAGAAACTAAGGGGAGACAACTGAGGTCTGATGTTATCCCAATCAACGGTAAACCGACTAGTTGGAGTATCCATAAGGAAGGCGAGACACCAGACCTGAAGTTTGTGTTTGGAGCAGTCTGAGGCAGGAGCCCAAGGAGACAACAACAACTTGCATTTATATAGCACCCTTCACTCGGGGTAGTGTCCTGGAGTGCTTAAGACAAGGTTTGACGTGAGAGTCAGAAGGGAGGCAAAGTGACAGCCTGAGAAGTGGTCAAGCTTGTATTTGCAGAAATCAGCAATTGTCACTTTGTCCGATATAAAGACCTCCTTAGGCACAAATACTAGATCCCTCATTGACAGGACGTGCACAGCACCCACCCTGGGTGCCCCTCACCCTGAACAGCACCCACCCTGGGTGCCGCCTCACCCTAAGCAGCACCCACCCTCCCTGGTTGCCCCTCACCCTGAACAGCACCCACCCTCCCTGGGTGCCCCTCACCCTGAACAGCACCCACCCTGGGTGCCCCCTCACCCTGAACAGCACCCACCCTGGGTGCCCCTCACCCTGAACAGCACCCACCCTCCCTGGTTGCCCCTCACCCTGAACAGCACCCACCCTCCTTGGTTGCCCCTCACCCTGAACAGCACCCTTGTTGCCCCTCACCCTGAACAGCACCCTGGGTGCCCCTCACCCTGAACAGCACCCACCCTTGGTGCCCCCTCACCCTGAACAGCACCCACCCTGGGTGCCCCCTCACCCTGAACAGCACCCACCCTGGGTGCCCCTCACCCTGAACAGCACCCACCCTGGGTGCCCCTCACCCTGAACAGCACCCTTGTTGCCCCTCACCCTGAACAGCACCCTGGGTGCCCCTCACCCTGAACAGCACCCTTGTTGCCCCTCACCCTGAGCAGCACCCACCCTCCCTGACTCTCAGAGAGCAATCACCCCCCACCCCCCCCCCCCCCCCCACCCACCCCACACCCTCTCCCTCTCAGCCGCTGACGCAGGGACAGACAGGTGCTGATTTGCTGTCACCTCCTGAGCCTGAAACGAAACCTGGAGCCATCAGTGCCACGTCCCGAGGGATTACTCGGGGCCCCACAGCGCTGAACAGCAGAGACGCAGGACTTGGCTTCGAGACAAGTGTCTGTTGGAGGGTTTCAGAGAGAGAAAGAGACAGAGACAGAGAGAGAGAGAGAGAGGGAGAGAAAGAGTAACGGGAACAGCTGTGCCCGGAGTTGGGAGTTGCTCCTGAATTTCTCAGGAGTGAGGCTGTGGGACCTGGTGGTGGTGGTGGTGGTGGTGGTCTTCACAGAAGGGTGTGTGTGTGTGTGTGTGTGTGTGTGTGACAGTGCAGGGGACTGGCACTGGGGAGGGGAGGGGTGGTGGGAGGGTGTGTGTGTGTGTGTGGGGAGAGTGGGGGGTGGAGGTGATCGCTCCTCTTCACAAGTGCTCCCCAAGGCTTTTTTTTTGGGGGGGGGTGGGGGTGTGGGTGTGGGGTGGGTGGGGGGGTGCAGAGCAGCTGCTCCTGGTCCCTCCGGCACAGCCACCAGCCTCTGGGCAGCGAGTCGGAGTCCGTGCGCTGTGCGCTGTTGGGGCTGTGTGGGGTGTGTGTGGGGGTGTGTGTGGGGGTGTGTGTGTGGGGGGGTGTGTGGGTGGGTGTGGGGGCTGTGTGGGGGTTGTGTGGGGGGTGTGTGGGGTGTGTGTGGGGGGTGGGTGTGGGGGCTGTGTGGGTGTGTGGGGTGTGTGGGGGGTGTGGGGGGTGTGTGGGGGCTGTGTGTGTGTGTGGGGTGTGTGTGTGTGTGGGGGGGTGGGGTGTGTGTGTGGGGGGTGTGGGGTGTGTGTGGGGGGTGGGGTGTGTGTGTGGGGTGTGGGGGGTGTGTGGGGGTGTGGGGGGTGTGGTGGGGGTGTGGGGGGTGTGTGGGGGTGTGGGGTGTGTGTGTGGGGGGGGTGTGGGGGGTGTGTGGGGGGTGTGTGGGGGTGAGGAGCACCGTCCAAAACAGACATCGACTGCTGGTTACCCCGACGGGGAAGACTGAATTGGTGAGTGTCTCTCTTCTGAACAGGGTAAGGAGAGGGGGAGAGAGGGGAGAGGGGAGAGGGGGAGAGGGGGAGAGGGGGGAGAGGGGGAGGGGGAGAGGGGGAGAGAGGGAGAGGGGGAGAGGGGGGAGAGGGAGAGGGAGAGGGAGAGGGGGAGAGAGGGAGGGGGAGAGGGGAGAGGGAGAGGGAGAGGGGGAGAGGGAGAGGGAGAGGGGGAGAGGGGAGAGAGGAGAGGGGTGAGGGGAGGGGGAGAGGGAGAGGAGAGGGGGAGAAGGAGAGGGGAGAGGGGAGAGGGGAGAGGGAGAGGGGAGGGGGGGGGAGGGGGGAGAGGGGAGAGGGAGAGGGAGGGGGAGAGGGGGAGAGGGAGGGGGAGAGGGGAGAGGGAGGGGGAGAGGGAGAGGGGGAGAGGGAGAGGGAGGGGGACAGGGAGGGGAGAGGGAGGGGGAGAGGGAGGGTGGGGGGTGGGGGTGGGGGTTGAGGTGCTGAATTGTAATCTGAACTGAGTAAAGCCAAACTCCTCTGTGGGCTACACCTCACTGTCAAACGCTGCTCGTCTGAGACTCTCTCAGCTCCTGGTGTGAGTGTACGAGATGTCGTGCACCACAGTACTCCGGGTGGGCGACAGAGATCTCTCGACTATAAGATGCATTAGGGATGTGGCTATGTCTGTTGCATGTATTGGATTTGGGGTATGAGGTCTTCTTCTCTTTTGTTGTCGCAAGGAGTGAGTTGTTGTGTGTTTTTTTCCCCACCCCATACATAGCAAAGGAGGTTTAGAGAGTGAATGAAATATTGTGCAACTTTGGTTTTGCAGCTGAATCCTGAGCTTGAGTATCATCAAAGTTGCCTTCTCCCACCTCTGCGTACACCCTTCACTGCTGAAACCCCAACTGATGTTTTGGAAACTTGAGAACTGATTTTCCAACCCCCACCTCCCCCCCCCACCCACCCACCCCCCACCCCCCCCCACCCCACGCCCCGCCTCGCCTCCCCGGCCACCCAACTTTTACTTTTCCGCAGTTTAAATGATCATACAATTCTACTGGCACGGACACTAGGGGTGGAATAACTTCCTTCTGAGCTGTACACAGAAAGATTTTAAATGGGATCGAGGGCAGGTGGGTCACACCGTTGACGGGAGAGCCTTCAGCCACTCCGGCCCCAACCTCTGGAATTCCAGCCCCAGTCACTCCGCCTCGCCCCCTCCTTAGCCTCCTTCAAGTCCCGCCTCAAAACCCTCCTCTTGGACCATGCCATCCATCACCCCTTCCCCTCCCCCTCCCTTCTCACCCCTGACCCCAGCTCGGGTCTGAAATGCTGTACACTGTCCAACGCCTTGGGACGTCCTCCCGACGTGAAAGGCGCTATATCAAATGCAAGGATTATTATTATACAAATGTAATCTTGTTGTTGTATAATTCTATGATTCTACAGTTTGAGTTCTTTCCTGCACAAGCCCCTCATCACCAGCCTCACAAACCTCTAATGGCTCCCGTATATGGGGGGACAGGGTAGAGGATCCTAACCCTAATCTTCCATTTTCTCCACCCAACTCACCTCGCTGTTCCTATATAATTTTCTTTCCTGTAATTTTCTCCGCTCTATATTGAATGATCTACACTCCCGTCACTTCACGATCAATGACCCAGCCATCAGTGTCATGCCCCCGACCTCTGCTACTCTTTCCAAACCCACAAGGGTCTTGGTGTGACAAGGCCACAAGAAAGCTTTGAATGGCCCATTTCATCTAATCTCTCCAGAATATTCACCCTACCAACATAGCATCACGTTGCTTTTATATAAATAGTTCAGCATCCTGGAAACTTCTTGCATTCATTAATCTCCCTCTGGGTAAATAAACATTTCCTGGTATTTGTCCTGCAATTAATAATTGCCCTTTGAAACCTAGAATCTGTGTTCTCTTATTTACTATCTTGGTATACCTGAAAAGATTGTTCTAGTTTACTTTCTCACTCCCATTTAAAATCTGTATACCACTAAAATTCCCTCTGAGATGTCACCTGTCAAGACTGAAGAGTCCTAGTTTGTCTAATTGTTGCTCATAGCTAAGTCTTGCGTCCTCAGTCCCTGCCATCAAAATCTTCCTAAAATCATATTTTTTTGAGTATGCCTTTGGCCAAAATCTTTAAACCTCACAATTCTCTGCTTATGTCGACCAGAAAATTGAGAAGTGCTTGGAGACCCTTTTTTTAGGTGCAAGTCGCTATATAGATGCAAGTTGTAGTGTAATCCTAAAGTACACAATGACTTGTAACAACTAAATCTTACCAAATGGAATAAATCACTTTATTACATTTGGAGTTAACTACCTAGAGTGCAATTAGAAATTATATTGCACAAGTTTTTTGTTGTGTGATCACAAGAAAAATTAAAAAGTGAAAGAAAGAAAAATTATGGAGATTCGAATTTATCTGCACACAGTGGATATTGTCATTAATGTATTCTCTTATTGTGCAGTCAACTGATTTATTGTCATTGACAAGGACAAGGCTTTAAAATCAATAAAAAGCAGTTTCTGTCCCAGTAGTGTAGTAATGTTTCAAGCACTGAGATTGTACTGATTTCAGAGCTCATGTAATGTATTTGTTTTAGGTTTTGAAATACAATGGGGAATGGCTTGGTGAAACCCAAACATTTCAGGCAGCCAAGAAGTCATATCGTGAGGTTTTCCATCAATGGTAACAAGTCAGTGCGTTTGAAAGACTCTGAGACCGGGATAAATTTTAAAGCCACAGCAGAAGTACTAAGAAGCAGATTACAAGAACTTGAATTGGAGAATAAAAGACAAGACGAACAACTGCGTGAGAAGGAGTGCACAATACAGGGACTTGAAGAGCAGCTTTGCAGGCAGACCAGTTCAATGGCTGAACTCACTCAGGAATTACAGGCAAAATGCGTTCAACTCAACAAACTGCAGGATGTCATTAAAACTCAGAGTGAAGTTCCTTTGGATCCACCGCCGCCGTTATCGTCATTGCCATCTCCCTTCAAATCTGCGAACAGAATTGTGAATCAGTGCACTGGTTTGCTCAGAGACTTTACCAACAGAAGACAAGGAGCTAAGGAAGGTGTGTCAGCGGAACCCACCTCAAGAACATATGATGCCAGGAAGTTGCCAGAGTTCTCTTTAGAAAAAGCCCGTGTGCGAAAAGACTCATGGTAAATGACTATTGATTTTACAGATTCTTGTTGCTTTGCAATGTTTTTCATTCCAGAATCCAGCACATTTCCATGCATAATTGGAATGCATCATGTGAAACTCTCAGTTCGGTTTGAATACAATACTCTTAAACATAGTATGCTGCACATACTCCACATGTGAATATTAAAACCAGACTGAGAGTTCCATATATACATACAGCCATAAGCCATGAAGTGAATGGTCAGTTTTATCTGGGCGATTTTTGGTTAGAGAAACTCTAACCAGGAGAAACTCCCTTCTCTTTTCAAATAATGTCATGGGATCTTTAACATCCATCTGCGAGGAGACGAGACCTCGGTTTAACGTCTCGTCCAAAGGATAGTTCCTCTGACAATGCAGCACACCCCCAGCACTGTGCTGGAGTGTCATCTTAGACGATGAGTTCAACAATGGGGCTCAACATAGGGCATGAACCCACAACCTTCTGACTCATAGCGGAGAGTGCTACCAACTGAGCCAGGCTGACACCTATGTTTAGTAGATTATCAGCTAAGATGAAAATGAGTTCTTCTAAGGGCAGCTCTGATGGTATGGTTGATAGGGATGCAGCTTATTGGAATAGGGGTGCACTGGTTTGAATCCTAAGCTACGTTTGCTGGTATCAGTTGAGGAGGTTAACTTATCGGATGTTTAGGGAGGGGATAGTCAGGCTGGTTTCTGATCCTGGTCCCTCTTTAGCATTCTCTACTTGTGCATGGGTATAGCTATAGCAACTGGCAGAGGAGAGGTCAGGCTGCCAAGGTTCACTCATGAATTATGGTGAATTTAGGGGAGAGGGTCTGGGAAGATAATCAGTGTCCACAGAACCACATCTTGGCTTGAAAAGTCTGGACGTCTAGGAACAGAGGTGTGTGCAAATGGAAAGAAAATTGGAAAAATAATAAATATAAAAATAGTTTAAAAAATTACCACTAAATTTGGAAAAAGAGTTATACTATGTTGAGAGCCATCAAAAGCATCGGGCAGTTTATTTCAATGCGTTACTTTATTTTTTAGTTTTGTTGTGTGTTTAACACAGTGACGTATTTTATGGCATTTGGTAAAAGGGTAATACTGAAAGGATGGATAATACAAAACCAAAGAGCAAACTAGACTCAACAGCTGGCAATCTTAAATGTGACATGAGACACAGACAAAAAGAATAGAGCTCATAGATTGATAGTGTACTTGGAACCTTTCAATGTTCTGTGTTAGAGGTGTTATTTTGAATTTAACCACAGGAGATTACAAACTGAAAATAAACTCAAACATTTTATTACAAAGTAAACAAAAACACACCCACTCATAAACAGTGTCAGGAACATGTGCTTAATGCCTGTTAACATTACCTGGATCTGGATTAGAACTCAACTTCACCCTGGACAGAAATAGTTACTACTGTGTAGACATTCACCAACAAATACACAGTCACTACACTTTACATGAACTCCTGTGAAGCACTTTGAAACATTTGAAAAATGGGATAAGGCACCATTTTAGATGCAAGGATTATTATTCTTATTCTTATAATCTCACAGTATACACTTCTCATTCAGAGTAAATCTGAACAATCAAACTAAATTCCAGTTAAGGATATGTTTATAGGTACACACAGTTCAGCAATGGATGAGTAATCTGAATTCCTTTTTTAATGCAAATCAGTAGATCATTTATCCTACGGAGTCTCTTTTAAAGGTCAAGGGATCATTTTAAAGACAGGAAGCCAACAGAAGTAAATCATTGAAATGGTATTCATGAAGATCATGTTCATTATATAATCATAATAATTTTTGAACAATTTGGAAAATTTGATTCCATGGATTGGATTTCAGAAATTGTTCCAAAATATTGTGAAAAGTACAGTGCTCTCTATGACAACCCATTGAATTCATCCAGTAAAATTTATGATTTCTATCAAGCAGGACTATTTGGCGGTCTAGCCCACTGGATAAACAGTTGACTGGCCAGTAGCTGCCAGCGTTTAACATTAGACTTGTTCTGTACTAGACAAGCCTGTTGGAAAATAGCTCTGAGCTATTGGAATGTCTGTCTCCTGTTGAGGGAACTATTGATTATACTGTGGAATAGTTTTGCCAACAGCAGAGCAAGCCACGTGGTGACAATGACAAGAAGCGTAGCTTTAGGGTTTATGAATCTCATGAGACAGTTAGCTCAGGGTACAGACCCTTGAGCACTTGTCACCCACTCACATACTGTAGTTATGGTGGCCTTCCTCATTTTACCACTTCGTTTTCAGTGTGCGTGTGTGAGTCTTCAAATGACTCGTGTTTCCTGACAGCAACTTTATGTAGCTTTTTAACTTTCAACAATGCAACAACCTCTGCTGGCAATTAAAGAAGGTTTGTTAGGTTTCCAGAGGCCTGAAATTCTATGCAGCCTTAACCTTTAAGACCATTGATTCTTATCATATAAGATTGTGGAAAATTGTGGAAAATTCTTTTATCTCATTTTGAAAGTTTTTTTTAAGAAGTGTGGAAAACCAACTTCCAAATTAGGACTGAATTTAGGAATTTTCAATGATTCTGTGCTATCTTAAATTTTAAGACAAAATGTGTTAAAGGCTAAAACTAGATTTCTTTTGGTCAGCTGAGGTCTGACACATGCAGGAACCCATCATCATTCTGAAATATATCCAAACCAAACTGAGAGCTCCATGCATGCCATCTTTACATGGAAATTCTTGTGTACGGAATGGAATGCACTCTCTCTCTCTCGCTTTAAGAGGGACGCATCTTGCTTACCTAATTCTGGTGAGAATTAGGCACAAGTTGCAAGAGACGAGGCTTGGAAACTGCAAAGTGTGCGATGGGGAACTGCTGGAGTTTAACCAGCTAAAACATGACGTGAAAGACGCTATATAAATGTAATCTTGGTGCTGTTTAGTTTTAAAACTGCGTAGCTTGCCATTGCTGTTGCCGTCTGTCAAACTTTCTCGCTGCTTGTTCACAGATTCCGTCATGACCCTTGAACCTAAGACAAGGTGGAATCTCTAGCCTTTGGTCTCATATCTTATACTATATTTGTTCTTTTTATGGCACCTTGAACATTGTATAGGTCACAAGGCTAGAGTTCAACAGAGGGATGTGAGGATGAATGAAAAGTCTAGAGTTTTTGTTTGATTATCTTTGAGAGAAACAATTCACAACTTTCCTGGAGGAGACTGAATGGCTGGGGTAAAGCCCACAACAGGACTTTGTTTTTATGCATTGCAATGATACTAGTATTACATACAGTATGACATCAGGTATTGGAAAACTGATTTCTCAAACATCTAATTCATTTTGTGGCTATTGTTTTCACCAAGGACACAGATATGTTCTGTTTATTCTGAATTGCCATTAGGTTGAGCTATAGTCTCCACTAATTTAATAATCTTGATCTCTGTAGCCATGTCTCCTGAGACACTTGTGATTACTATCAACGTGAGTTATATTTGTCTAAGTCACAGACGCCAGTGAAGAACCAGTACCTTTTAGTGTTCATTTCCCCTGTTGGGACTTAGAATCTAGCACTTGAGTGCTTTGAAGGAGGGGAACACTAGTCAATCTGATCATGTGGTTGATGTGCAGTTGGTAGTTAATCCCGTGTGATACATAAACCCCTATTTATGGGGCACAAGTGTATTTTTATAGGCAGAATAATCTGTGAATTGAAGAAGAATATTATTTCTATAAGTTTCTTCAATTAATTGTTTCTTTGTCTCTGTGCGTGTGTACCTGCATGCATGTGTCTAAATGTGTACATATGTAGGTATGTACGTGTGTGTGTGTGTGTGTGTGTGAATGTTACTGTGTTTATGTGTGTGTGAGTTTGAGTATTTTTTGGGGGAAGGGGGTTTATTTGATCTGGCTGTCAGAAGAAAGTTTGGCAAACTGAAACTACCCGATGGTCCAGGTTGTACCTCATTTTCCACCTGAAATGGAGTAGACTGGAAGGAGGATTATTTTGTACCTGTGAGTGGTTTGAAGCTCACTTCATGTCCCATTTCCCAGTACTATCTTGACGAGTATACAATTCACCAGAAAAGCGACTAAGGATACAAAAGATCTTGGTGGTCTGAACTAAGCCTTGCACCTTTGAGAATCTTGGTTCTAACTTATATATACAAGAGGAATGGGAGATCTCACTATATAAATGCAAGATGTGCTGTCAACCTGGCTTAGTTGGTAACACGTTCACCCCTGAGTCAGAAGGTTGTGAATTAGCCCCATTCAGGACTTTGAATTTACATAATCTAGTCTGATACAGTGTTGCGGGTGTGATATATTTGTTGGAGGTGCTGTCCTTCAGAAGAGATGTTAAGCTGAGATCTCGTCTGTCTGCTCAGGTAGAGGCTAAAGATCCCATGGCACTATTCAAAATGAAAATGGAGTTTCTCCCAGTATCTTGGCTAACAATCCTCAGATAAAATGGGTCATTCACTTCATGAGGGACATTGTTCAGCGCCTTGGAATGTCCTCCCGATGTGAAAGTCGCTATTCAAATGTAATTTTATTGTTGTTGTTGTTGCACCAACTTTGCTGCCTTGTTTGCTTACAAAATACAGTCACTACACTTCGCATTATATCCAGTGAAGTGGCTTGAGGTGATCTCATGACATGAAAGGTGCTATACCAAATGCAAGGATTATTATAATGAGATCTGTCATTAAATGTTTCTGTTCCTTTGAGAAAGGCAAAACTGTTTTTTGAAAGTATATTTAATATATACTTAAATATAAGCAGGAAGCTTGTTACTGAGAGGCCTAATGATTTCTTGGCAGCCTAAAGAAGCTTATCACAGACGCCCTGAATAAGAACGACTTTCTCAAGCGGTTGGAGATGCAGCACATCCGAAGCATAGTGGAATGCATGTATGAGAAGAACTACCAAGAGGACGAGTATGTCATCAAGCAAGGAGAGCCGGGCAACCATCTCTTTGTGCTGGCAGGTACTTTGCATGCTGGAATATTCTGCAGAAGTCTTGAAGCTGCATTTTGACGACCTGCAAGATCCAGTTTTCTTAAAAAAAACATATAACAAAATTGCACAAACTTGGGGATATTAAGGGGTGAAGGAATAATATACTCCTTCTGTGGACAATCCTGTGTGCAATCCAGATATGGAATGTTCAGTCGTCCCAACATTTACACAGCTATTACCCGATGAAAATTACTTCCACTTGCTGGATTAGATTGAAAATATTTAGTGATATAATAGCTGTTTCTTCAGAAATAATCTTTAAATTCAGTGGGAGTATAAGACATTGGTTAAACCATATCCTGAAATTGTGTACAGTATTAAGTGCCACATTATAAAAAGGATTTGTAGAGAGGGTAATGAAAGAATATAGCTATACCTTAAGACTTATCTTTTTGATTACCATTTTTGGTTGCCTTTCCTCCTTTCCCCTCTCCACACCCTTCTCATCTTTCCCCGATTCCAGCTTAGGTTCTCAGTCAGCTGTGTGAAGTGCTTTGAGATGTCCACGTGATGTGAAAGGCGATATATGAATGTTAATTCTTGTTGTAATTTAGAAGTATTACAGTCAGCAGCGAATAATGCGCAAGAGTGCAATATAACTTGTGTCTACAAAGTTTTGGTCGAGCTTTTTATTTCCGATATCAACGAGTTTAATTTCAGTGAATTATAGAGGGGAAAGTATTCATAAAATATGTAATGAAACATCACATTTTCATCCCATAGTGTAAACAAGTCTGTGATCCTCTGAACACTTTTGAGGTAGCAAAAATGAACTCAGTTGGATTGGACTTAGACTTGAGCAGTGTGGGTTGTTTTAAATATTTCTGAAAACCTGAAAAATAAATTTTCACAAACTGTAGCATCTTTGGAAGAAAGTGATCATAGACAAAATATTGCCAAGAGTAAAGCTGGTCCATTGGAATGATTTTTGTTTGTATTTCTCCAGGATGTCTTCAGTTCTGTTCTAAACGACACATCGTCTTTCTCTCTCTCTCTCTCTCTTTTAACAGAGGGCAAACTGGAAGTCTACCAAAATAGTAAATTTCTAACAACTATCAGCATCTGGACAACCTTTGGTGAACTCGCTATCTTATATAACTGCACAAGGACAGCCTCTGTGAAAGGTATAGTTCCTTCATTATTCCCAGAAAAAAAAATCTTTCATTTTTAAATAATTTATATTATGTCTCAGCATTTTATGTAAGATCAATATTGAGGCGTGTTTCATACAGCATTATATTTATCATGCAAACTACCTCCTTTGTTTAGGATATTTGGATTAAAATGTCTTGAAGGGTAGACTGAGTGTTAGCAATTTAATTTAATACTTAGAACAGCAAGTGGAACTTGATTTTAAAACCATATTAGAGGTGACATTGAAAGAATCCCATTGTAATAATAGTAATGACAATCCTTACATTGGTTATAGCGCCTTTCATGTCGGGAAGATGTCCCAAAGAGCTTAATAATAATAATAAAAATCCTTACATTTGACATAGCTTCTTATCATGTCAGTGAGACTTGTCAACGTGCTACACAGGATATACTGTAAAGTGGAGTGATTGTGTATTTTATGGGAGAAATATGGCAGCCAGTTTGTGTGTAGGAACGCCCCTCAAACAACCATGGAGTGAATGACCAATTTTATTTGGGGGATTTGTTGACTGGGAGAAACTCCCTTCATAGTGCCATCGAATCTTTAATGTCTACCAGAACAGGCAGATGGGACCTCCAAAGGATGGCATTTCTCACAATCAACACCCCCACAAAACTGCATTGGACATGGGCTTGAGCCCACAACCTTCTGACTCGGAGGTGAGAGTCCCCTGGCTATCACTGTGCCAGGCTGATGCATTGTAAAGTGCAGTGAATGTGTGTTTTGTGGCAGAACCTTCTCTAAAGGTATTAGGAACTATTCAAAAGAATTCAGAGTCCAACATTACCTTTAAGCAGGATTATTGTTCCAAATAAATTCTGATTCCTTCAGTCTTGACCTCACAACTATCCCACCTCTGCCACAGCCATGATCTTACCCATGTTGCTTTCCTCACTGCAATCTCGGTTCACTTAGCTCAAATCATCCTTCCTCTGCCAGAAATGTAAAACCCCACCAGGAAGGCTTTCAGTTCAGATTGGGAGACTAGATTTCAAAGCTTTGCTGTACCAAGCTTTGAAAACATTGTTACTAGATGAATAGTGTTAAGGCCCCATTAATAATAATAATAATAATAATAATAATAATCCTTGCATTTGATATAGCGCTTTTCACGTCGAGAGGACTTTCCAAAGCGCTTCACAGAACACACTGTAAAGTGAATTGACTGTATACCTGTGGGCGAATGTGGCAGCCAATTGCGCACAGCAATGTCCCACAAACAGTCGTAGATTGAAAATGACCAATTTATTATTGTTTTTGGTTTTGGAGGGATTATTATTAGGCGTGTGGAGTAAGGAAATTTGCCCAAGGTTTCGCTCTGCCATTAGTTGAATGGGCAAAATGATGGCAGATGCTGTTCAATATTGTGAAGTGTAAAGTAGTTCACTTTGGCTGTAAGAACACTTCCTATATAATAATCCTTACATTTTATACAGTGCCTTATCACATCGTTGAGACATTTCAAAACACTTCACAGGATAAATTGTCAAGTGAATTGACTGTATTTTGTGGACAAAACACAACAGCCAATCGCGCACAGTAATTGTCTGTCCCACAAACAGTTGTGGATTGAGTTCCCAAAATTTATTTATTTACTTGTTTCTTTGAGGAACTAGTCCCCCCAAAAAGTGATCCGTGAATCAATTAACAGCTGGGTTCCTACTTACTGCTGGGTAAACAGAGTTGTGTGGAGTAAAGAAACTTGCCTAAGGTTTCGCCTGGGAATCGAACCTGGGTCCTCTGGCTTGCGAAACGAGTGCGCTAACCACTATGCTACAGGACTCATTCCAGGAATTCTCGTTAGAGAAAGAAAGAAATCAACTAGGATTTCCCTTCCTGATTGCTGTCCTCTCCTGGGAAGTGCATATCTACTGATGTTGCATGTGGATGATTTAACCTGCTGTGGTGTCCTCATAGTTGAAAGGCCTGTCAACATTCACTGCCAAGCCCTGCAGACATATGGAGGAAAATAATTTTGGTGAGGTATCAGGGGTAGCTGCTACCAATGGAGATCGCCCCCAAAACAGACTGTGCTGTTAGGAGAGCGAAAATTAAGAAACCAGGAAAAACAATAAAAGCTGCATCAATAAAAAGGACACTAAAGAGTTCAGATGAAATTTTGGAAATTTTAGACCATTAATTATTCACAGCATCAGTCAGGCACAGTGCAGTTGTCAGTGCAAGTAGTTCAATGGTTCAGAAGGTTGGATTTATCCAATGGGTGGACCTGAGTAAATAACTACTACCCATGCATTATGATGTTGGGTTTGTCTTTTGGACAGAAATTATATTGACATTGTTACGGAACTGCTGTTTGTTTTCACTGGAAACAAAAACGGAAATGAATCTAAGTAATATATATTCTGCTTCTAGAGGAGGTCAGTAAATAGTAATAAACATCAGATACACTACCCATCCATTGCAAGTGATTAGTCACACAGTGAATTCTAATGACATTGGAGATGAGAGATTGTTAAAAAGCAATAAAAACAAATTGATTTTGTTGTGTGATGGTTGGGATTGCAATAAAAAGCTTTAATTGTTAAGTTAGCTGCCCCTTTTATTAGTTTAAACATGGTTTCTGGGAAATAGAAATCCGCGCAGGGATCCCTTCCAGTTCCTAGTATACTTAAATAACCTGGATGTGCAGACTTATTGTAACATACTGTAACAACAATAACAACAAATTACATTTGTATAGTGCCTTTAATGTGGAGAGGACGTCCCAAGACACTGGACAGTCAGGGATTTGGACCCAAGCTGAGAGTTGGGATCAGGAGTGTAGGGCAGAAGGTTGACTGAAGGCCCGGTCAAAGAGGAGGGCCTTGAGATGGTCTTTGAAGGAGGTAAGGGAAGGAGTGAAGTGAATAAATCATAAAAAATAAATACTGTAGTTATGTTTTCAGATGACACTATACGCGGGAGAACTGTGGAATTAGGAAACAGATAATATCTTAAACAGAGAGCTTGACAGGTTATGGACTTGGGTTGATCATTGACGAATAAAGTCCAATATGGAAAATGCAAAGTAATGGACATAGGATGTAAAATTAGAAGTGGACAGGACAAGAAGTTGCCAAGTGAGATGGTGAAAAAGACTTAGGGGTGTTGGGTTGACTCTTTGCTCAACATGTTTAGTGTGAGGTGACAATAAACAAGGCAAACAGGATGTGGAGCTGTATTCTCAAATAACTTGAGTGCAGATCCCCAGAAGCCACTCCTGAATTACTGTCTACCTTTCTAGTGCCTATGACATAAAGCCATAGAGATACTGAGACGAGAAGACTGAGGCTGATCCCAGTATTCGGAAGATGAACTATGAGGAATGATTAGCTAAGCTAGAGCTCTTTAGTTGTGAAAAGGGACCTTGTAATGGTACATTTGATGCTCAATGAAATTGAGAAATGAAACCAAGAATAATAATTTCTGTCAGGGTAGCAGGAGAAAAGGGCACAGGTTCAGGGTTGTAAAGGGCAATGATTGGATAGACAACAGAAAATAATTTTAAACAGAGGACATTTAATGCTGACTCAGTTGGCAGATATCAGCATGGTTCAATTGGTAGCACTTTGTTCTCTGAATCATTTTGAGACTTTGAACTCACAGTCAAAGCTGATACTCCATTCCAGTGCTGAAGGTTTGTCTCATTGTTGGAAGTGCCATTCTTCGGATGAAACATTAACAATGAGGTGCCCTCTGTCTGTTCAAGTGGGTATTAAACATCCCAATGGCGCCATTTGAAAAAAGAAGGGAGTTTCTCCTCGTGTGTTGCCCAACAGTCTCCACAAATAAAATTGGTTACTCAATTAATGGCAATTTGTGGAACATTGCTGTGCGCAAATTAGCTGCCGCATTCGTCTATCCATACACAGTCACTGCACTGCACACTAAAATCCTGTGAAGCGCTTTGAGGTGTTTTGACAACATGATAAACTACTGTAAACTCCAGATAACTCATCACCCCAAGGAAAAAAGGGCAGCGACAAGTTATCCTTATTGCCACATTAAGCATAGGTCCTCCTGGGCCACAAGGGTTGGGATGATTGATGCAGGCACTCGGCTGAGGTGGGGCTCGAGTGCTTAGATGCATCTCAGCGGCATCCAATCTATTGCAGAGCAAAGGCTGTGGCCTCCAGCCCTATCCTGTCACAGTATACAGTACAAAGCAGAGTCCCTTATTAAAATTTGCATAAGAAGCAGCCAGGACATTGACAGCATGGAGACTTAAATGGTAGTTACAAGTTAATGCAGCGTTGAGTAATCAGAAGTTTACTGTATATTAAATTACAAGGATTATTATTATGTTTATTTCCAGAATTTCCTGTTTTTAATCCTGATGATCAGAATTAATTATTTTTTTCGTTTTTATCTCTTACTGTAGTACTTTGGATAAATGTGTTTTTGTATTATTTTTATTCTTCAAGCTGTAACCAGTGTAAAGACCTGGGCTTTGGACCGGGAAGTCTTTCAGAATATCATGAGAGGTACAGCTGAGGCCAGGCGTGAGCAGTACCGAAAATTCCTCAGAAGGTAACACTTAGTTTTAGTTTTGGTTTTATGTAATTAGTTTTGTCCACAAAATACCCAGTCAGTCCACTTTACAGTATATCATGTGAAGCGCTTTGAGGCATCTCAATGACATGATAAGGCACTATATCAAACGCAAGGATTATTATTTATTAGTTTTGGCATTGAATGCATGAAAGCAAGTAGATATACTGTTGGGGAAAGATCCCACTTGGGTCTAGATTTCCTCTATTTATGTAATTTTGGAGTGTCCAGAATTGGACAATTTCTTAAACACAGCCATAATTTTGAAGTTTGTTTTCTCCGAGTTCTTAAAATAACTCCAGAATGCCGACTTCAAGGCTATGGCTGGAGACAATCATTTGTCAAATTCTGGATGCTCGAAAATGCTACATAAATAGAATAAATCTAGACCCAGATGCAATTTCTCCCTTTTATAATAATAATAACAACCCTTGCATTAGATATAACGCCTTATCACATCTTCAAGATAATTATTTTATTTTAAATTATTTTATTTGGTATTTGCACTCTGAATTAGATAAGTAAGATGCCTCATGATAAACAAACAATTGGTTAAAAATTCTAACCATTATTTTATTGATGCCAATGATCTCACCAGGAATTTTTATTTTTTTAATAACTTTCCGCTTAATATCCCAGTTAACGTTTCTCCATTCTATGAAGTATAGCAGCATGTTCCCTAACTCTATCTTGCCACAGCATTATACAATATAATTATGACCCATTTATAATAATAATAATAATAATCCTTGCATTTGATATAGCGCTTTTCACGTCAGGAGGACGTCCCAAAGCGCTTCACAGAACACACTGTAAAGTGAATTGACTGTATATTTGTGGGCGAACGCGGCAGCCAATTGCGCACAGCAATGTCCCACAAACAGTCGTAGATTGAAAATGACCAATTTAATTATTGTTTTTGGTTTTGGATGGATTATTATTAGGCGTGTGGAGTAAGGAAACTTGCCCAAGGTTTCGCCCTGCCTGGAATTGAACTCAGGTCTCTCACTTGCAAAGTGAGTGCTCTAACCACTGAGCTACAGGACTCCACATTTGGGCTTTCAAAAAATACACTACCATTCCTCCCACATACTCGAACACACATTGTATTAACTGAGTTTCTAATTTACTAGTAAAATGTTTGTACATATACAGGTTACAAGGAATCATTTTCAATGTAACGTAATCCAGAAGTCTCCAAATTATAAAATGTTTCATCACAATGGTTTATAGGTATAGGATTAAGGATTTGGTAGGGTGAATATTAATAGGCTGTGTGCACTTGTTGGTGAATCCATAACTAGAGGACATAAATGTAAGCTAGCTAATGGTAAACTATTAGGGACTTAGCAGGAACTTCTTCATGCATAGTGTGATGAGAACATAGAACTCATTGTTGGAAACTGTGGTTGAAGCAAATAGCATCAACAACACCAACAACAACAACAACAAGATTACATTTGTATAGTGCCTTTCATGTCGGGAGGACTTCCCAAGGTGCTGGACACTGTACAGCATTTCAAACCCAATTATATATCAATATATTTAAGAGAAAACTTGGTGCATACATGAGAAAGAAGGGAAATAAGGGGTGTAGTAGAGGGTGGCACAGACACAATGGGCCAAATGGCCTTCTTCGATACTGTAACCTTCTATGGTTCTGTTGGAAAAGGAAGGGCGGGAGCTTGTGTAGAGCATGAACCGGTAAGGACTAGTTGGGCCGAATGGCCTGACTTTTTGCCACACCACTCTATGTAACACAATGCAACTACAGAGTAACTATGTTGGTAGCAAGTATAATCTTTCAATAATTTGCATTTAACATATTTTTCCTAGCGTTTCTCTGCTTAAGAAGTTGCCGGAAGATAAACTTGCTAAAATAGTGGATTGTTTGGAAGTGGTAAGTTATTTGTTTTATAAAAATAAGGAATTATTTGGCCATCCATAAATAAAATTCCTTCACTCATATTTATAACAAAATAATGAGTAAGATATTGAGCATTACCTATCCTTTCGGTTGGTTGATTTATTCAATAACGTTTGCATTGAAATTTGAGCATGAGGTTATTTCAAGTTAGTAATGACACTTTTTCAAAATAAATATAATATGTTATTAACATTTAAAACTAGTGACTATTTTCAGGGGGAGGGAAGGGAGTAAGGGAATAGGTGGATGTGTTGGCTCCAGGGTGATAGGCCTAGCAATCCTCATAGAGTAGTCCGAACTAGACAAGCAATGTAAAGCTTGCCAGTTAGTGTTTGCAATTGCTGGCTGCGTGCTTTTAATTGGTTAAACTCTAGCAGTATCCCAATAAACATTCTGGGATCCTGAAGCCTGGACTCTTGCCAATCTGCGCCTAATACTTTTTTGGATTAGATGAGCAAAGCAGCGCTCTGAGACGCTAAAAGACTGTGATTGCTGGATCCATTCACATTTTCAAAATGGGGGCAGATAAATATTTGTTAGGTCAGGGTATTAAAGATATGGGGCAAGGGCGAGTAACTGGACTTGAGGTACAGATCAGCCATGATCTTATAAAATGTCGGTACAGGCTTGAGGGGCTGAATAGCCTACTCTTGTTTCTATGTCTATGTATCTGTGATATCAACAACAGTTTGCATTTATTTTGCACCCTTCATGTGAGTAGTGTCTTGGAGTGCTTAATACCGGCGGAGCTTGGCACCAAGCAGGGAAAAGAGGGGAAGTGATGATAGACATGGTCAAAGAGGAAGATCTATCCTGTGTGAAGGGCCTATATAAATCCAAGTTGTTGTGGTTGTTATTGTTCCTTTGAAGAGAGAGAGCACACTCCATTCCACACGCAGGAACATTTCCATGTGTAGGTGTCAGGTATATATGGAACTTTCAGTAGTTTAGTTTGGATGCTCAAGCATGGTGATGGGTTTCTTTATCAGACAGATACTTGGTTATCAAAAAACGTTATATTCTTAATGGTTAATGTTATTTAATGCGCTATACAAAGGACTGATAATTTGCCTATTATATATCACAACAACAAAATATGTTTGCCCTCAAAACACAGTCACTTTATAGTAAAATTCTCTGAAACGCTTTGAGATGTCTTCTTGATGTGAAAAGCGCTATATCAAATGCAATGTTTACAACCAAACCAAAGTTGTTGCTAAAGAATGTGCTTCTTTCTCTGGTAACTACTGGCAGGAATATTATGATCAAGGAGACTACATTATCCGTGAAGGTGAGGAAGGAAGTACCTTCTTCATTTTGGCAAAAGGAAAGGTAAGCTGTGGTTTGGTTATCCACTGTCACCACAATTAGAGATACTAAATTAGAAAATCTATCCTTTTTTAAAAAAATTAAGCCAGTTTCTCTGCTGGTAACCTACTAATATTCTCAGAATACGTGCATGCAAATACCAGGAGATTTACTAATCATTGAAATAATTGTTTAAAAGAATGGATTATTCAAAATCGTGAAGGAAAAAAGTTTTAAGTAGTCGCAGGCAAAATTACCCTAAATTTCACTGGACAGAATGGAAACTCCCAAATTATTAATCCACTAATCTTTAGGGCAAAGAATAATAGCATTACACTGTAAAGAGTTCATTATTTGCACAAATTGGGATCGGACCCTTTGTGGATAAGCAGATAGTGTGGATAACTGGACATCAAACAAAATACAAATTGGCTGCATGTCAACCAAAAATGTTCTATCAGTTGTTATACTGTCGCTGTAGTAACCACATTGTGTCAGCCCTTCTCACCCTCACTCTGCCTTTTTCTCTGTCTGAGTCTCACTCTCTACAAGAGTCTCCCCCTAAAACTCTCCAAACCCATATGCAGCCTAGGCATCAGGTTCGACCCCCAATTATCCTTCCTCCTCCACATCCGGTCCCTCACCAGCACCACTTTCTTCCACCTCCGACACATCGCCCGTCTCTGCCAAAACCTCACTCCAAAAGCCGCTGAAACCCTGGTCCATGCCTCTGTCACCTCTCGGCTGAACTATTCAAACGCCCTCCTCGCCGGTCTCCCCTCCACTACCATTCACAAATCCAGGTCATCCAAAACTCTGCCGCCCGCATTCTTACCCGCACCAAACTCCACTCCCCGATCACCCCAGTCCTTGCCAGACTGCACTGGCTGCCTGTCCCAGAGAGGATCGATTTCAAGATCCTCACCCTTGTCTTCAAATCCCTCCACTCCTCTGCACCCCCCTACCTCTCTGACCTCCTCTCTCCTCACAGCAGTGCCCGTTGCCTTTGCTCCACTGGGTCTGGCTTCCTCCTTGTCCCCCCGAGTCCTCCGCTCCACCATCGGTGGCCGTGCTTTCAGCCACTATGCCCTGAGGCTCTGGAACTCCCTTCCTCACTCCCTTCGCCTCAATCTCTCTCTTCCTATTTTCAGGTCTTGGCTGAAGACCTTTCTTTTCGATCACGCCTTTGGTCACCTTCCCACCCTCCCCCTGGCTCGGTCCCGGGATCCGTTACTGTGAAGCGCTCTGAGACGCCGTCCAGCGTGGAGGGCGCTATATAAATCCAAGTTGTTGTTGTCGTTTAGCAGATTTATTTATTTTATAAGGATAAGTGGAAAACACCAGCGTTCAGCACATTTAAATTATTTTCAACGATACAACTGTGCTTGGTCATTTGCATTTTAGTATGCAGTTTACCCTTTTCAAAATTAATAAATGCAAGAGGTATGAGAAAGATAACAGCATGCGGTTCCGTGTAATACAGAATTTCAAAAAGGTTAAGCCAGAGAGAGGAAAACATTTGTAATTTAAACCTGTATGAGTCAAGTGTGAGTCCTGTAAGAGAGGTCTTTAAAGATTTAAGGAATTCAGCAGAGAGACACCTGTTATTTTAATCAAATTTATTGATATTTAAGGGACTATCAATAATTGTGCTGACTTTCAAAAGAGCAGAAAAGTGATCTAGGTAAAATGTTAATGATCCATAATCAAATTTGCTTTACACATATAAAAGCAAATATACATGACCATTTTTTATAGTATAGTTTCAGAAGGGGTTGAGGTAAACAAAGTTTAGTGGTCATTATTATAGTAAATTTGAAGAATAGATCGATATTACAGTTATTAGGCTCTTCAAGCATTTTACTGCAATACTAATACTACAGTGAGGAATGACCCTTCCCATTAAAGGGATGCAGGTTCACCCGTACCAGAGGACATCAAATGCCGCAATGGGACTATAATGAAGTCTTGTAGCTCAGTGATTAGAGCACTTACCTTGCAAGTAAGAGACCTGAGTTTGATTCCCGGCAGGGCAAAATGTTGGGCGAGTTTCCTTACTTCACACGCCTCTGTTTATCTAGGAGTAAGTAGGAACCCGGTTGTTAGTTGATTGGTGGATCTCTTTTCCAGGGGTAACAACAACAACAAAATTACATTTGTAAAACGCCTTTCAAATCGGGAGGAAAAGCCGGCACAGACACGATGGGCCGAATGGCCTCCTTCTGTGCTGTATAATTCTATGATTCTATAAATCCCAAATACTTTATGTGAAAAAATTGTAAATCTTTTCATTTGAGTAAAGAAAGCAGTTTTCAACAAAAAGATGCCTGACACTGACTTCACTATTGCCCTCTCTTTCTCATGACATCATCATCCAATTCATCCAAGATATCAACCAAAGCACCAGCACTGAATGTTATACCTTGAAAATGTCCAAGTCCAACTTTGTTGATGTTGAAGAATTATATTATTTATCTCATGATAAAATGGATGTAGATATTATTGTAATATATCACGTGAAAATATCACAAAATGATTCACGTAGTGGTGTCTAATATAATTTTAATCCTATAATAATCCTTACATTTGATATAGCGCCTTTCATGGCAGGAGGACCTCTCAAAGTGCTTCACAGGGTATATTGTAAAGTGTAGTGACTGTGTACTATTTTTTAGTGATCTGAGTACCTCATTTTTAGGGAATTGCTATCCGTGTGCAAACATGTACAGAAGGAATCATAATTGCCCCAATTATGTTATTAACAAGGAATGAGGAAGATTCCAGCATAATTTGAAATCTTTTCCTAGGTTGTCTATTACATAAATACACCTGTAATTCTCTGTATACACATACACATCCAACCAATTTAAACCCAAATGTGTTGCTTTGAAGTGTTATCATATAGACAACATGACAGCCAATCAGTACTAACAATACCCCAAATACAGCAATAAGATGAATAACCAAATTGAAAGTTTAAAGAGACCATTCCCTATCTTATTAGTATAGGGGCTGTAGATTCTAGATGGGAATCCACTGCTTGCAAAATGAATCTTTTAACCTTAAACTTCACTCGAACGCCGTGTTACCCCCAGTCACAGAAAGCTCTGAACCTAGCTTATTTGGTAATTAAGTAGGTTTATCATATCATCTCCCAACCTGAGAGTTTTTGAACAAGGCTACACTGGCCATACATCATATGACGATCATCTGGGGATGAATCTCTTGGCCTTGTCATCAATGGCAACAGCTGTTATTGCTTTTGAAATATGGATAAAATTGAGTAGATTTGACATCTTCTTTGGTCATATAAATAGTACTGCATAACAGAAGGTAGCTGTTTAAAGGGGCTAATACAAATACAGTTCTTTGTAGCATCAACATATATGATTTTAACTATACAAACTGTCAGTATGAAGCTACACAAACTATTTTGTTAGCTTCACTTGAAACAGAAAACATATTGAAATATTCAGCACAGAAAATGTTTTTTTGATCTACCATTGTCTGTGTCACTGCTATCTGTCTTTCTAGGTTACCTTTTGTTGTTAATCCCACTTTCTAGCTCTCTTCACATGTTGTTAATGTTTTTACTAGTCCAATGTTTACCCAGTTCCACTTGAAGATATTCCTTCTAACTTCTCCCTTCCTTTTTCTGCAAACAATCCTGAGTCACCTTGTCTCCTTGTCACCTATTCAACTGAAGGAATTGGATTTTTCCACCTATTTACTTAGTTATTCTTCTTCAGAATCTTAAACAGCTCTACCATATTTCCTCTCGATCAACTCTCCTCCAATGAAACAAGCCACAAATTAGTCAGCCTCTCTTCATATGTATCTTATCTCATAACTTGATAGAATAAAACCAGGGTAGACAACAGAAAAAGATGCTGTCTCTTTAAGAAACAAATTCATTTATAAATTTTGACATCAAAGAAAACAGTCTTTATATTAATTAATGTGGAAATTTAGTATGCGACTTACAATGGTGAAATCAACAATGGTGTTTGAGGAGTCACTGGGGGGGTTTTGAAAGAATGATCTAAAAGACGTATAAATATTTAGATTGTGAAAATCAGGCTTGAATACACATTGATCCTGATCTGTGTCATCATTGACTTTAGGTGCAAGTGACTCAGAGCACTGAGGCTCATGTAGACCCACAGCTGATAAAAGTACTGCAAAAAGGAGACTACTTTGGAGAAAAGGCTCTTGTCAGGTTAGTCTGTCGAAAGTAAATGATCTCGGCTTACATTGGCCAGGATGAGTGAGCATGCAGCAGCAGCTCACTATTTATAGTTGTTCGGGCAAGCTCATTGAAATAATAATAATAATAATGCTTGCATTTGATATGACACCTAATGACATCATTTGAGATGTCTCAAGATGCTTCACAGAATATACTGTAAAGTGAATTGAATATATTTTGTGGGCAAAACACGGCAACCAATTGTGCACAGCAGTGTCCCACAAACAGTCATGGATTGAGTGACCAAATGATTTTTTTAAAAAAAACATTTTTTNGAAGGGACTCCCAGAAAATGTTTAACTAACAATAGCGTTCCTACTGACTGCTAGGCAAACAGGTGTTTGGAGTACGTTAACTTGCCTAACGTTTCGCCCTATCCAGGAATCAAACTTGGATCCTCTCGCTGGCGAGGCGAGTGCTGTAACCACTACGTAACATGACCCCACTATTGAGAATCTCAAAATCATGCTAAATTCAAAACTTGCCTCATGTTCCTGAAACTTTTTTATTTCATCTGATTTTTTCTGGGATTTTCCCATTTTCTTTCTCAGAATTGCCCTTTTCCAGGTTATTTGCCTCAGTTTTTAATAATCTTTATTGTTGAGATAAGATTCAACTTGCAGGTCAGAAAAGCTGTAAGTCAGCGGGAAGAATTAGCTTCAGTTTCTGTCTTTCACTGGACGAAGTGAGGAGGGTCTGATTGTTAAGTTTTTTAAATTCATTTTGAGAGATTTTCATAACCCTTTTTTCATTGTGGTGTCATTTCTGCATCATTTCAGCTTCCATTGAATTAGATGGCTTGCTTACCACTTGCCAGGGATAGAGTATTCTAGTAACAAGTTCAAAATATGGATGCCAATTTTGAGTGTAAATTGGGTTGCTTTAGTGATTAATCAAAAGTTGCTATCCACTGCTGAGCAGATAATTAATCCAGGTCCCTGTGACAAAAGTTACACATCGTTAAATACCGGTGAATCAAGATCAATTGCTAGGTGTCCAATATTGAGCTGCATTACTTCTGGAGGAGAAATTACACTTCATCCCTACAAAATAAGTTTAATATATAATAAACTAACTTGCATGTTTGATGTTGTCTTCATTGAAAAATAATTGGAGACAGATAAAGAGAGAAGTTGCATTCACTATTTTCACTGTAATGAAATTTCCCTCAATTTTTTTTGGGGGGATTAGCCAGGTGTTTGAGACATGCACGATTGGAAACCCATCCTTAAGCATATCCAAACTGGCTTGAAAGTCTCACCTGTGAATGGAAATTTTTCTTTGTATGTATTGGACTCTCTCCCTACTCACCTAATTCTGGAAAGTATTAAGCACAGGTTGATGAGACCCAAGGCAAGCGGACCCCAGAGTGCGCGTTGCAGTACTGCTACAGTTTTAACCAACAGTTTGCTGCTGCTATTCTGGCTAGGACCATCTTACCTGTTAGGGCTTTGGTTTACATTTTTAACAGGAGCTGAGTGGCAAGAATCCCTGCTCCCAGTGATTGGTCTCCCCACCCCCCAAAGTTCTGCTGACAAGCCAGGCTGGTTGGTCTGTCATCAAAATTGCTCTCAAATGATTCAGTGATGCATTTCGATATAACTCATGTCATCTTCAACTGTCTTTTCATGATAACATTGTCCCTTTAATGTTTGTGCAATCTTTAATGGATTGGGCTCGTGTTACATGATCTTACTGCAGCTAATACCCATTTCCTATGAAATCATACAATGCTTTGTACTTTGTATGAACAGCTGGCCTGAGGTGTTTATAAGACTCTGAAAATATGATTGATTAACAAGCCAATGAGCCGGATCGGGTAAGCAGTGTCTGTTGGTGTGAGAGTGCATATATTATTCTGTTTGAAGGCAAAGGAGTTCATTTGTCAGACTGCCAGATCTTAGTTCATTTCAAAGCAGTGTGTGATGTATTTCTGAAATATTTCTTATCTTTTATCCTCCACAGTGATGATGTCAGGTCAGCTAACATAATCGCTGATGAAAACGATGTGGAGTGCCTTGTTATAGACAGAGAGTAAGTCATACTGGTAAACATTGGTCATTTCAGTTGAGTGATCACACCTTTGGAAGTCTAATCATTTGCACATTACAGATTAAAGAAATGTTGCTTTCCCTCACTGAGTTCAATTTGTTTGTCTACGGCAGATGGTGTGAGGGTAGATTAATGTAATAGAGATCTTGTACACAAAGGCAGTTTTCAGCATTTGCACACATTGTGCACACACAGATAATATTACAATGGAAATATTGATTTACTCTAAGTACGATGGTGTTTAAGTCTTTTCATTTCTAAAAGACCTAAGTGTACAGTTTGGGGTGTTCCTAAACACATTATTGTGTCAAAATCCAGGTGTATTTTCTCTGAAAGGGTTACCATAAAAGGGTGAACATTGGCTGACTCCCTCCATGTCTCCCCTGGACTTTGGAAGGAGCCTGTGGATAGATGTCAACTGTTAATATGAGGTCCACTGATAGGACTGTCCTGACCCCACTTCAAGGTATCAAAGCTGGTGTTATGAAGTCTGCCAACCCCTCACATCATCCTGTGTCAGATGAAATCGAGGTGGCAGACCACGAATGAACTCCAATGTGTCAGCCTGGATCAGTTGGTAGCACTCTCGCCTCTCAGCCTGAAGGTTGTGGGTTCAAGCCTCATGTCTGTACTTGTAACCCATATATTCTATACTGACACTCCCAATAGAAGAGAGGTTAAACCGAGCTCCTGTCTGCCTGTCCAGATGGACCTTAAAGATCCCATGGCACTATTCAAAAAGCGAGGGGAGTTTTTCCCGGTATTGTGGCAACAAATTATCCCAATTAAAATTGGTCACTCACTCAATTGCTGCTGCATTCACCCACCAAATACACACAGCCACATCACTTTACAGTATATTCTGTAAAGTGTTTTACCCCCAAAAATATGGAATTTTGTATGTGTTTGTATGAGTTACATCTGAAAGTTTTCCCCTAAATTCCATTGCTTTTAAATTATTTAATTTGATAGAGAACTGCATTGGATTTCTAATCATGTTCGTTAATTACCACTAGATTAAAGTTTAGCAATCGTTCTAAAGTTTATGACAAAGCTAACATTGTTTTAACCGGTAAAAAGGTGCTGTAGTCGAAATACCAAAAGTGTCCTTCTTTATGCACTTTTTGTGCATGTGTAAATAAGACATTCTACCATTTTGATATATGGTTTATTGTATCTTATTTCTGTGTGTTTTTTATTATATGCAGCAAAAAACCTCCCCCTGCCAAGTGCTCTGATCTGAAATTTAAGCACCAGCACCTTTGTTACTTCTCTTTGAAGTGACCACACATTATTGAGACAGGGTTGAAGAAAGATTTGTAGGAACACATTGAACACACTACAAATGTAACTAACCAGAATGCAAGGTGGAATATACAGCAAAATTCAATGCACAGTTGTGATATATTGTACACCTTCGTACCTAATTCATAATGTGAATCTATTCAAGTGTATCAAAGACCATACTCTATAATGATAAAAAAAATCATGGACTTGAATCTATTACATCCTCCCTGCATTTGACATAGCGTCTTATCGTGTCTTCCAAACGTCTCAAAGAACTTTATAGGATTTAATGTAGAGTATCGTGACCGCATATTTTGTAAGTGAACCAGCAGCCAATATGCACCCAACAGTGTCCCACAAACAGCAATGAAGTGAATGACCATTTTCTTCTAGGGGAACGTTGGCCAGAACACCTGGAAAAATTCCCTTCTCTCTTTGACGACCACCTGAAGGCATATCAGCCCTTGGTTTAACATCTCTTCCGAAGGACAGGTTCTTTTAAAGGAACCTTCAAAGTTAATTCAGTGATTTGCTAAATGGAGAATCAACCCAGATGTAACCCCCCCACCACACACACATCTCTCTAGGCAACCCGATACATTCCTATTTTGGAGGAGATGAGCAATGATATCTTTGTATACAAGTTCGACATTATCATGCTGAAGCAATTCTTGATTAAGAGGGTAATTAATGACTGAATCAGATAGACTGGAAGGATAGTTGAGGCTCAGGATTCTGGACTCATTTTTAAAAAACAGCTTGATACTGTGATTGGAGGACCGTGGGGTGGATGTTCTGGGAAGGGGGGTGAGATCGGATGGGATGTCTGTGTCCAAACCAATCTTGTGATGATTTTAATAACCATCCCTACATTTTGTATAGCACCTTTCACATCGGGAGGACATCCCAAAGTGCTTCACAAGATATACTGTAAAGTGTGTTGCACACAGCCAATTTGCACACAGCATCCCACAAACAAGTGTGGAGTGAGTGATCAGTTTTTTGGGGGGGTGCTTGGGGATTGTTTGCCAGGATACTGGGAGAGAAAAACTCCCTTGTCCCATTGGAATATTGTCATTGGATCTTTAACATCCATCTGAACAGGCAAAAGGGGCCTTGGATTAACACCTCACCTCCAACAAAGAAGCAAACCCCCAGCACTGCACTGAAGTATCAGTTTAGATTATATCGACATGCATCTTCAATTCACAACCTTGTGAATCAGAAGAGAGAGTGCTACTAACTGAGCCAGGCCTTCTCTTCTTCTTGTTTTCCCATGTTCCTATTCATAGACTTTCTAAAGTGAAACAATTGGAATAGTTTAGAAACTGCATCTGTTCCCACAAAAAAATATTTTAAGATTACAGTCACGATCTGCGATGCTCAGTTTTATTTTGTTGTATGCTGCAGAACATTTAACCAAACGGTTGGTACATTTGAGGAGCTGCAGAAGTACCTTCAGGACTATGTAGCAGAGCTGGCCAGAGATGATGAGAAAAGGCATGCAAAGTAAGTCATATTTATAGTAATACTTGCATTTGATATAGCGCTTTATCATATCGTTGAAAGGTCTCAAAGTGCTTCACAGAATATATTGTAAAGTGGATTGATTGTGTCTTTTATTCACAACAATGGAGTCCAATTTGCAATAAGGGATTAAAAGGTGCTCAATAGGAAAATCACAGTTTAGGTATTTTTACATAAACATTGGGCATTCAGGTTGGAAAATTCCAAACAAGTGTTTTTTTTTAGTACCTTTATTGACATCTGATTAAATGTTGAATTTTGGCACCATCCAGTCTTAGGAAGGATATAGTATCCTTGGATGCTGTCCAGTGATTGTGTACTAAATTAACTAAATAGTTTACTAAAGAGGAGGTGGAATGACCTCTTCTTCCTGTTTTCCTGTGTTTCTATTTGTAGTCTTCATAAAGTAAAATAATTGGGATATTTTAGAAACTGCATATGCTCCGCTCCCACCAAGAAAAGTATTAAGGGCAACATTTTTGTCATTTAGAGAAATATTTGATGTAGGATTCAGACGTTAAAGTCTTATACAAATCTTAAATTAAATATGAATTCTCCACATTTATTATTTTAATATTTCTGCCATTCTAGGAGATCAACATGTGCACGAGGAGGAACAGTCTCTTTAGAGATGATCCAGTTGAAGGAGAAAGTTGCCAAGTTTCCTGCAACAATACCATTCCAGAACCTGGAAATCATTACCACCTTAGGGGTGGGTGGATTTGGAAGAGTTGAACTGGTAAGAACAGAACTGGCAGTTGTCAGCTTTGCTCAATTAGTAACTCTCTCACCTCTGAGTTAGAAGTCTGTGATATTAAGCCCTGTGTCAAGATCTGAGTTTATAGTCTAGGTAGCATTGGAGAAATGCTGCATTTTAGGAGGGGGCAAGGCCATGGAGGGCCTTGAAAGTGAGGACGAGCATTTTGAATTATATCCTCTGAGGGATAGGGAGCCAGTGGAGCCGGGCGAAGGTGGGGTGATGGTGTCACAGAGTCTGGTGCGGGAGAGGACATAAGCTGCAGAGTTCTGGATGATCTGCGGCTTGTGGAGGGAAAAGTTGGGGAGGCCGACAAGGTGGGAGTTTCCGTACTTGAGTCTTGAGGTGACGAATGCGTGTATGAGGGTTTTGGCAGCCTGAGGGCTGAAGCAGTGGCAGAGTCAAGCAATGTTGTGGAAGTGGGGGAAGGCAGAGCGGGTCATGACATGGATATGGGGGAGAAAGGACAGTTGAGGGTCGAACAAGACACCCAGGTTCCTGACTGGCTTGGTGAGGTGGAGAGTGCATACTTGGATGCTGATGCTGTCAGTGCCTGAGGTGCAGAGGCACTGGCACAAATTAATCGGGAGGGCCTTAGTCTTGCTGACGTTCAGCTGGAGAAAGTTGGCTCTCATCCTGGACTTGATGTCAGACAGACAGTCTGTCAGGATGTCAGTCGTCCTGGAATCAAGGTGGAGGCAGAAAGATAGAGTTGGGTGTCATCCGTGTACATGTGGTACTTGACTCCATGTTTGCGGATGATGTCACCAAGGGGGAGTATGTAGAGGTTGAAGAGATGGGGACCGAGGACAGAGCCCTGAAGAACACCTCATGAGACTTTGAGGGGGCTGGAAGAGAAACTGTTGGCAGAGACAAATTGGAGGCGGTGTGAGAGATAAAACCGGAACCATTCAAGAACAGAACCTTGAAGTTGAGGTGAGAGGAGAGGCTGTGGAGGAGGATGGAGTGGTCCACGGTATCGAAGGCAGCAGAGCGGTCGAGGAGGATGAGGAGGCAGAGGGAGCCCTGGTCTCACCCTTCAGGCCGCTGAAACTCTTGTTCATTCCTTCATCACCTCCAGGCTCGACTATCCAAACGCCCTGGTTGTTGGCCTTCCCAACTCCTCCCCCCACAGGCTGCAGACAATCTAGAAATCTGCAGCCCGTGTCCTCTCCCGCACCAAACTCCGTTCTCGCCTGACTCCATTGGCTCCCTATCCTTCAGAGGATCCAGTTCAAGATCCTGGTCCTCACCTACAAAGCCCTCCATGGCCTCGCCCCACCCTACCTCTGCGACCTCCTAACCCCCTACCAACCCGCCCGCTCCTTCCACTCAGCCGGCTCTGGCCTGCTCCACGTCCCCCGCCCCACCATTGGCGGGAGAGCCTTCAGTCATTCTGCCCCCAACCTCTGGAATTCCATCCCCCAGTCACTCTGCCTCACCCCCTCCTTAGCCTCCTTCAAGTCCCGCCTCAAGACCCTCCTCTTCGACCATGCCATCGGCCACCCCCCTTCCCCTCCCCTCCCTTCTCCCCCCCGATTCCAGCTCAGGTCTAAAATGCTGTACACTGTCCAGCACATTGAGACGTCCTCCCGATGTGAAAAGCGCTATACAAATGCAATCTTGTTGTTGTTGTTGGTGGTGATCACAGATGGGCAGGATGTCATTTGTGATCTAGACCAGAGCAGTTTCTATGCTGTGAGCAGCATGGAAACCCAATTGGAGGGGCTTGTGAAGGGACTGGTAGGACAAGAAGGAGTGACGCTAAGACATTACAACTCTTTCAAGCTACTGTTCAGGAATTGAAAATTGATTCCCACTAAGTGGTTCAAGCGTAAACCTTATTTGAATGTCAGGTGAAGGTGGGAACTTCAAAATATATCTTAATGCAATTCCATAAATAAATTAAATTGTACCAAATAAGCAATTGATGATGTTCACAAATGTAACATTTTTGGCCCCAAAAGATTTAAATTTGTAGAGAAAAACTAATTTCTGCAAATCTGCCTTTTTCTACATTCTAGAATTGCAACAAGAAATTACTGTGTCTCTTTCTATAAAGGTTAAAATCAAAAATGAAAATGTAGCGTTTGCTATGAAGTGTATAAAGAAACAACATGTTGTTCGCACAAGACAACAGGAGCACATTCACTCAGAAAAGAAGATTCTAGAAGAAGTGTGCTCTCCATTTGTTGTAAAGTAAGTATTATAAAGCAAACTATTCACGTTATATTGGTAACTCAAACAAGTCAAGTTTCTGCACTTTTTCTCACGTTGGATAACTACAAATATACAACATTTGGTTTCATTATACCTTACTGAGATTTAATTTGTTGACTTTCTATAAGTTATTATTCTCTGGAGCCGTTGAGGATCCATTCAGCCATTTTGCTCACTCCCTGGAACAGTCTCTCTAAACCTTTCTATCACTCACCTTCTTTCTCCGCTTTCAAAATCCTTCTAGGAACCTACCTTTCTGACTGCACCTTTGGTTATGATCTCGCATCTGCACCTTAAGAGGCTTTCCTATCTGAAATGTGCAATATAAGTGCCACTTGAATGGTTTCCAAGATTCCCGCCAACCCCCACCCCACACAGCGCCCACCCCACCACATGCCATGTTATTGCCAGCGGGATGCTTAGGGTTAAGACACAATTCTCTAAAGATATCTTTTTCGGTTAGACGGTAGAGGACGTGTGTTTCCACTAGCATTTGTGATGAACCAAAAGGGCCATTTGGGCTTTAAAAGCTACCTTCTTTAATAATTCACATGCAGGAGAGCTGATGGCTGTGAGTCGAACATAAAGTGAATTATGGCCTGTGATCCGAAAGGTCAAGGGTTCATGGAATAAAAATGAGGAGATGGTGGTTGAATGTAGGAAATGGATTCATTTATATTTAATCACCGGCACAACATTTGACTCTCTAATGTCAGGGGAGCAATAAAAAGGTTTTCCTTAAGAAATAGATGGGAATGACAACTGGCATCTGATACCCATTTTTAGTCTCCGCATTATAGAGGTGTCCACTGCTAGCTGTGCTCTATCTAGCAATGTGTCGGAGAATTTGTGGCACCCAATCAGCCTATGAAATATGAGGACTGTATTGTCATCCAAGAATTTCAGCTTTCGTGAATGCATGGGGTCTGAGCAGAGCAGCTGCCCTGCACATTGGAGCACCAACAGTTGGCAGTGAATGTTGGAATTGAGTCAGCCCTCTATGTGATCTCAGTGATCCAGTTTCTGAGCCAGTCAGGTCTACTGTATTCCAAGCCATAGTGAGAGCCCAAGACATGGAATCAGCAGAGGTGTTTCACTATCAACACCAGCAACTTGGATTTATATAGGGCATTTCATGCAGGTCAGAGACTTGGAGTGCTGTACAGTAGCAGGCTGCTGGTCAGCGTGACGTCTCTTCTATTGGAAAGAGATCCTATTTGCACAACTACATGTCACTCCAAGGGAAGAGCTCAATGACAAGTTATTAGGAGTGGGAAGTTAGGCATATATATAAATCCATAAATAAATGTGGCTGGGATATTGACAGCATGATGAGGCTTAAGTGGTAGTGACACGTTAAGCCACATTGGAGTTATCAGGAGTTTACTGTAATTGTTTATTAAAGAAATCTCAATAAAACACAATGCAAATTAGATACCGATCCAAAACCTCATACGCACGTTACCTTTGTAACAGGCTATGGCTGCATTGATAATTAAAACTTACAAAGTCTGTTGAGTAAGTATTAAGTGCTTTATTACAGTATGTTTGCATTTCATTTGCACTTGCACTGGTTTAATGCCTGATTTCTTTCTCTTTTTTATCTCTTCTCGGTGCTGTTGCAGACTGTATCGCAGTTTCAAAGACAACAAGTTTGTCTACATGTTGTTGGAGGCCTGCCTTGGAGGAGAGATCTGGAGCATCCTCAGGGATAGGTGAGGCAATCTAGTACAATGTAAAAGGGATTGACCGATTAAGCCATGAGGTCAACCTAAAAGTCTTGCACATTACCTGAGTGGAGTGGAGCTTGGATGGTATAAAGCTGTAAAATGATTTGCCGTTTCCCACTTCCCCTCATCAGTTTCTTAGTGACTATCCTCCTTGCTGGGAGGTAAGCAGGGTCTCCTTGGAGTTTAACTTGTGATGTGTTTGGCAAAGAAATGTTGGAATCGAGCCAACCCTCTGTGACAGTCTCGGTAGTCTAGTTCCTGAGGCAAGCTGGTCCACAGTATTCCAAGGTACCACTGATAACAGCACACGCAGGCTGCCTCATCAGCAGAAGGGCAGATCTGTCACTAGGGGCAGGGATTCATCCCACTCAGCTCCTGATAACCCTGCAGCCATAGCCCTGAAGGGTAATGTGATCCTCGCTGGATAAACAGCGGAAAGGTTTGTCAGGCAGTGCCCTCAATGACAAGCGATCTAATTTTAGCTGGTTAGACTCCATCAGTACCCCAATGCACACATTGGGATCCCCAAGCCTTGGCTCTTGCCACCCTGTGCCTAATCCTTCCCGGAATTAGGTAAGCAGGATGTGCCCCTCCAGGAACAGAGTGTGCAATCCATTCCAACAAATATTTCTGGGATTTCTATGTACAGGTGGGATTCATGGAACTTTCTGTTTGGTTTGGATACTCTTAAGCATGGTGATGGGTTTCCGCATGTGTCAAACACCGGGCTGACCAATCTTTTGCTCTGAGACTGGATGAAATCAAGGTTAACAAAAGAAACCTTAAACCTGGGTGCATGGCCAGATTGGAGCTGTTGTGGAGAACTTGTCAAAGCTGTCGTGCATGGAGATTGAGAAACCATGAGAGTCTGAGTATCTGACCGTGTGCACTGTCACAGGACACTGACTATCAACCGAGGTGCCTGTAGGATCTGTTTCTAGTAGGGATAATGGAGATAGCTGAGGTTCCCTCCCCCTGTATTAATAAATCATGATTTGTGAACAAATTCTGTATCTATGTGAGTTCAGTATCTATCTGGCTTGTGTGGGCTACTGGATAGTTACAATATCTAGAACTGATCAGAAGCTGTGCAGATCAGAAGACAAATCCAGATTAATCTACATGTGGCAATGACAACATGTCTTAATACAACCTTCTTATTTTAGAGGCTGTTTTGAAGAGCCTGCTGCAAAGTTTTGCATTGCTTGTGTGACAGAAGCATTTGATTATCTGCATAGCATTGGAGTCATATACAGAGATCTGAAACCAGAGAACCTGTTGCTGGATGCTGAAGGATATATAAAGTTGGTGAGTTTTTAAGCTGGCTTCCGAATGCATAGCTCGATTTAGTAATTGATGCATGTTTCAACTTAGTAACTATCCACATGGATGGGATTGATTTTAAAGATTGCAAGAGAGGAACAGATGAAGAGGGTCCTTCTACCCTTTTACATTAGAATACATTAGAATACATTAGAATATACAATACAGAAACAGGCCATTCGGCCCAATTGGTCTATGCCGGTGTTTATGCTCCACATGAGCCTCCTCCTGTCCTTCCTCAACTAAAGCCTCCAAGCATAACCTTCTATTCCTTTCTCCCTCATGTACCTATCCAGCTTTCCCATAAATACATCTATGCTATTTGCCTCAACAACTCCTTGTGGTAGTATGTTCCACATTCCCACTACTCTGTGTGAAGAAATTTCTTCTAACTTCCCTATTGATCTGTTTGTGATTATTTGATATTTATGGCCCCTGGTTTTGACAAATGAAAACATCTTCCCTAAGTCTACCCTATCAAAACCTTTCATCATTTTAAAGACCTCCATCAGGTCACCCCTTACCCTCATCTTTTCAAGAGAAAAGTGTCCAAGCATGTTAAGCCTTTCCTGATTAGGTATAACATCTCAGTTCTGGGATCATCCTTGTGAATCTCCTGTGCACCCTCTCCAGTGTATCCACATCCCTTCTATAATGTGGGGACCAGAACTACACACAATATTCTCAGTGTGGTCTAACCAAGGTTCTATAGAAGTTTACCATAACTTCTCTACTTTTCATTTCTATCCCACTAGAAATGAACCCAATGCTTGGTTTGCTTTTTTTATGGCCTTATTAACCTGCATTGCTACTTTTAGTGAATTGTGCATGTGTACCCCTAGATCCATTTGCTCCTCTACCCCATTTAGGTTTTTATTTTCCAGGATGTCTGTGACTTCCTTTTTCCTTCTACCAAAATGTACCACCTCACACTTTTCTACATTGAAATGCATTTGCCATTTAAATGCACATTCCATCTCATCCTTTAACAAAATGAACCATATCATCTTCCCATTTGTGTCAGCCTGGCTCAGTTAGCAGCTGTCTTGCTTCTGAGTCAGAAGGTTATGGCTTCAAGCCCCACATCGGGACTTTGAGCTCACAGTCTACACTGATACTCCAATATAGTATAGGGGATGCGCTGCAATTAGAAGGTACCGCCTTCAAATGAAACAAATTGCTGCATTTCGCCCACAAAATACACAGTCAATTCAGTTTACAATCCTATCCGTCATAGGTAGGGCAAAGTCAGTAATTCATTCTCTACTGGTTGGTAATCTTGTGTGGCGTGAGCTACAATAGAAAAGCTTCTACTACCAAGAACAGTAAATCTACTGACGGAAAAATCATCCCCAATATTTTACATCTTTAATGGGAGCAACAACGATTAACAAGTATTTGTTTTGCAGATGGATTGCACATAGTATAAATTAATAATCCTTGCATTTGATTTATCACATCATCGAGATATCTCAAAGCGCCTCACAGGATATACTTTAAAGTGGATTGACTGTGTACTTTGTGGGCGAAACACGCCAGCCAGTTTCCGCACAGCAATATCCCACCAACAGCCATGGAGTGAGTGACCATTTTTTCAATTGGGAGATTGTTGGCCAGGACACAGGGAGAAACTCCCTTCTCTTTTCAAATAGTGTCATCGGATCTTTAACATCCACCTGCGCAGGCAGTTTAACTTCTCATTCGAAGTTGAGAGTTTAGGGCTTCAAACTTCATCATCCCATTCTTTACACATGATGGTATTGGGACAAAACCACAGATGATTTCATTCCGAAGCAAAGATTGTCAAAAAAACATATTTGTGTAAAACGGCTTTTTAGTGGGAAGTGGCTACAGATGTAAAGCCTTTAATAATAATTCAGGAATCAGAATAGAAAAATACATCTTGATGGTTTTGTAATTTTAGGTTGACTTTGGTTTTGCTAAGAAGATTGGCAGAGGGCATAAGACATGGACATTTTGTGGAACTCCTGAATATGTTGCCCCAGAAATCATTCTGAACAATGGCCATGACTTCAGTGTGGATTTCTGGTCACTCGGGATACTTGTCTTTGAGCTCCTCATTGGAAGGTTAGTGTTCCTTTGTATGCCTCATAATATCTATTCTATTTGAACATCAAAAAGACATGAAGGAAACCAGTTGTCATTGCCAATTTCTCCCCTGCTTCAGAAACATTTTCTTGGTGTGTTTTGCAAAACCAACCATCAATTTCCACTACTTAACTCGATAGCTCAACTCTTAATCCATTTTCTATTAATGTGCTGGTTCGACTAACTCAGAGAACTGAAACAGCCTCCAAAAGAATACATTTCAGAGAGAAAGAGTTTGCCCACTTCTGCCATTATCTCACAGCAAATGCCACTAAAACCCCCAAAACCCCAAACGCTGGTCTCCACAGTTCTACCATCTACAAAGTCCAGTAAATACAAAATTCATCCTTTTGTATCTTCACTCATACCAAATCCACACCAATCACTTAGCTTCTAATCTCTGGAGCTCTCTTCCTGTAACTCTCTGCCTCACTCCCTCTTTATCTTTAAGACCTACCTCTTTAACTGCGCTTAAGGTCACTTCTCCCTCTCTTTGCGTCCAATCTGAAGCACTCTGAGACGTTATCCTAAGGATGCTATATAAATGCATAATCAGCTTCAAAAGTAATAGACAATGAAGGATACAACTTAAAACTCAACAGAACATGATTGGTATGGTATACCTCACATTTCCATTTCATTTGTTTAACAGCCCACCATTTTCTGGCTATGATCAGATGATGACTTACAACATGATTCTCAAAGGTATAGAGAAGGTGGATTTTACCAAGAAAATACCAAAGCGTCCAGAAGACTTGATTCGTAAGCTATGCAAGTAAGAACCAAAAACTGCTTTGAAATGATGGGATGTACGCCCTTATTGAACTTGCTTTGCTGCAGCCATCTTTTGTATTTCATAATAGGAAGTGGGGATAGCCAAATAATTCATAAAGCTTACTATTTATCAATCACCTCTTAACACGAATAGTCTTCCAGAGCTCATAGCATTGAAGTACTGGTTAGTGGAATACCGATAAAAGGTGGTGTCTATGAGTGGGCAAGTCCAAATGGCGATGCAGCTAGTTTCGAGCCCAACCATTTTGAGTCATGGAATATTTCCTTCAGTGATGTGTTAACCAACTTGGATGTTAACAGTGGCAGTTTTTACTTCAGAAATTCTTCCGGAGGCATTTGCATTTTGCAGGCGTTGGCAACAGTTGTAAAGAGCAGACCACTTACTCAGGCTGTTGCTAACTTGAAATAATAAGACATACATCAAAAAAACAGTGATGCTTGATGTTAAAGGTGCCAGTACCTAGGGAGTGATCTCACTGAATGAATGTACTTCATCATTATCTGACCTTGAGTCATAGGAACAACTACTTTGTGGTGACTAAACTTGTCACTGAGCTTTTATACTCGGCCAACTGAGATACAATTTTAGCAGCTCATCAACCTGTTAAAGTAACTCCCGTCAAAAGAAAGGGGGTTGATAATTGCAGTTTCTATTCTCCACATGACTTATAGGCTTGGATTTTTCAAGACAGACATTCTTGTTCCAGTTAAATAATGCAATCAAGTAGCCTTCTGTCATCAGCAGAACATATGAGATTATAAAGGTTCCTGATGTTGGTGAGAATTCCATACAAAATGCACCCAAGTTTCTTTAACAGTATTTACAGATTAATTATTGTAATGAGTTTACAATAGCAGCTAACCCCTAAAAATAGACAAAGCTCTGTTGATCCACCTAACATCCTGTGCCTGGTTAAAGCTGTGCTCAGTAAAAGTTATAAATCCATTCTTTAGATGAGATGTTAAACTAAGTCTTGTCTGCCTGTTCTGAAACTGCCTGTCCAGCACTTGGGACATCCTCCCGACGTGAAAGGTGCTATACAAATGAAATTTTGTTGTTGTTGTTGATGTTCAGATGGATGTTAAACATCCCATGGAATGGTTCAAAAAGAGAAGGGATGGTGTCCTGATGTGCTGGCCAACATTGCCTCAGCTAAAATTGGTCATGGCTCTTTGTAAGATATTGCTGTGGGCAAATTGACTGTGTTTGTTTAGAAATACACAGTCACTAATACAACTAATACCTGTGAAGCTCTGTGAGATGTTTGAATGTTAAGGTGCTATATCAAATGCCAAGATTATTATTTATATTCCAAATTTATGGGGAAAAAAATTGAGCTTCTGATTTATTTGACTTTTAAGCAGGAAAATATTTTCATGAAATATTGTATAATGGAGATATAGCACTGAGTCAGGAAATTCAGGAAGATCCCAGGTTTTTGATCCCTGTATTTTGCAGCTGATCTAAACTAATGTCCCTAGGAGGTGCTCCATGTCGTCACATAAAGGAGTAGCCAGGATTCCTGCACAATGACTTGTCAGTGATCCATGCTGATAGGTTTGTGTGCATGGACAGGCTCAGGTAAGAATGAGCCTCAATAGTCTTGACCAACATAGCCGAATAGCAAGTTGACACACTGCCTTGGCTCACATATAAACAATGATCTAAATAGGTGAGCTATTGAAGAGCTGCTGGTACCCATGCAAACGTACCCCCAGAGTTAGTCACTGCCTTCAGGAGGAGAGAGAACATTGTAAACATTATTATTATTATTATTATTATTCATTATTCCTCAATATCTTTTGCTGCAGACAAAACCCAAATGAACGTCTAGGAAATCTGAAAAATGGAATAACTGACATAAAGAAACACAGGTAATGTCTATCAAGTAACTAAATGGGATTTATTTTAGGAGGTGTTAGATACTCGGACTCCAGGTAAAACCTTCCAGTAACTGTCGCCCCAAGCTTTAGAGTTTTCCTCATTTTGATTGGCTTGCAGAGAGGCAAGCAGCTGCTGCTTAAACTCCGCACCTCTAACTGGTGGAACCATCGCTCAATGGGAAGGGACGCGTGTCTAAGCTGTGGACGGGAAGATGGTGGCAATGCTCTCACGTATTTCATGCTGAGATATGTTGCTCTTTAGGAAGCTCGCAGGGAGTTCCTGGTACCTGCTCTCCACTTAGTGAGGCTCAAACCTGTGTTTGTCAGATGTCAAATGACCAACTCGTGACTATCTTCCTTGAGGTGAGGGCAATCGGGGTCTCCTTGGAGCTGAACTGGCTCCAAGCTGACATGTGTGGAAACAGAACGTCGGAATGAGCCAGCCCCCTCTGTGGCAGTCTCGATTGTCCATTTTCTGAGTCAGTTGGGTCCGCAGGACTCCAGGGCACTGCTGATGACAGCACAGCCAATCTGGCTCATCAGCAGGACCTGGTAGGACAGACCAGTCACCCGTTGCAGGGAGTCATCCCAATCAGCTCCTGTTAGCTCTGCAAGCCAAAGCCCTCATGGCTTGGGTGGTCCTAGATGGACATGCAGCGGGAAAGTTTGCAAGACATTGCTATCAATCACAAACTATGCAGTTTTAGCTGGTTAGACACTGAGCAGTTACCCCAACACACCCTCTGAGGTCTCCAAGCCTTGCTTCTTGCCAACCTGCACCTAATACTTTCTGGAATTAGGTCAGCAGGATGTGTCCCTCCAGGAAGAGAGTGCGCATTCCATTCCAATAATCTATCTCTGGGATTTCCATGTGTAGTTGGGATGCACGAAATTCTCAGTTTGGTTTGGATACTCTTAAGCCTGGTGATGAGTGAGACACACGGCTGACCAAAAAATATATATTTTAGGAGGAGGTGCAACTTTTCTGAATTAATCTATATTTTTGTCAGCTGGAAAAGGCTCCCTCCTCAGAATGTAAATAAACCAAACGCAAGTTCAAACAGACCAAAATGTCACAGGTCTGGTGAGGCTAATTGTCGTGTGTTGCCCCAGGTAATTCACAGAATTAATGGTTAAATAGCTCATTGGATTAACATCAAGGAAACTGAACCTGACAATTCCTGTCTTTCATACCCAAACATTTTGCTTGCATCTTGACATCACCAACTCATGTGAAAAACAGAACAAAATTACATCATGTATTCAAATCTCTTCTATTGCAGATGGTTCAATGGTTTCAACTGGGAGGGTTTGAAAGCCAGGACATTATTATCACCTTTAAAACGAGAGGTACTTGTTTCTTGTTATTATTTTTAAAGTGGTCAGATTTTCTGCCCTTTAATCATATTCTGCCATAAAATAATTTGATGGGTAGATGCCGTGTAATATGATGTTTTATGGGACATTTGTGCTGCTGATTTCGTACAGCTTCAGCAATATAAACAATCTGTATATTGGTGAGAAAACTGAATAATACACATTATGATTTATTTTAAAGCTACGAGGCCCTACGGATTATAGATACTTTGACAGCTATCCCCCTGACAAGGATATACCATCAGATGAACTATCAGGCTGGGACAAGGATTTCTAGGTCAATGAAACATCCTGCATTGGAGTGGGAGAAATGGGGGAAAAATGCAACTGTTATTGCTGGATCGTTAGGAAGCAGAGTGACCTCAAGTGCGGTATATTTGATTTTCAATATACCAACAGCTTTCCAATCTAGTTGGTAACTAATCATTTTGGTACATGTTACTAGCTACATCCTGCAGTGTAGTAAGGTTTGTATCTTAATTTTCTGAAAGCTGCATTTCACACATTCTTGCTATGTTACTATTAGCAAGCATTCTGTATATGTACAAAATAGTATGGTTTCTTATGTACTGGAATCTCAGTAAGTCAGATTTCATTGCTTGTTTAATAATAAATAATAATAATCCTTGCATTTAATATAACGTCTTCGAGATGTCTCAAAGCGCTTCACAGAATATAATGTGAAGTGATTTGACTGTATATTTTGTGGGGTGTTTAATCTAACTTTGTTACTGGTGAGTGCTTCAAAGAACACTTGTTGAATGAACACTGAATATTATAAGGGAGATATAGCCATTTTGAAAGCCTCAAACATAAATACAAAATCTTTCTTAACTTGTCATTTTCTTATCTGGAATGTGGTTTGTTTATTTCCAATCTTGCCATTATTATAAATGGGGAAGAATGCTACAGAAGTCTTCAAAGGGCCATGTAAAATTTTGCTTGTGTGTACGATGAGGTAACTATTATTAAAGGAAGACTATAGACAATGCTGTAGAAGCTGGAACCTGGCGGTTTTGAAGTCAAACATAAAACAAACACAATTACATTTCTTATTTTATTCTTTAATCCAGCAATGGCCATTCTGTTAGAAAATCAGGAAAATTGCTCCAGTTAAAATAATTGATACAGTAAAATGTACTGAAAAATGGCAGTACTTGAAAAGAGTTTTGCATACATGATGCGCAAATATCACAACATTGAGGTTCTTATGACCAAATAAGATGTGGTTTCACTTTTTGGTCATGTGCAAATTGTATAAATGAAGTATGCTGCTCGCTTGTGAGATGAGTGGTTAGAGCACTCACCTCACAAGCGAGACACCTGGGTTCAATTCCCGGCAGGACGATACCTTGGGTTTCCTTACTCCACACGCCTGATAATAATTCCTCAAGAAGAAGAAAAAATAAATTAGTCACTTCAATCCACGACTGTTTGTGGGACACTGCTGTGCGCAATTGGCTGCTGCGTTTTGCCCACAAATATACAGTCAATTCACTTTAGTCTATTCTGTGAAGCGCTTTGAGACGTCTAGAAGATGTGAAAAGTGCCATATTGAATGCAAGGATTATTATTATTATATTATAAAGTTCAAGTTCCCATCTTCATTGCAACTGCTAGCTAGTATTGCAATTGTAGCTACCATGTTGTTCATGTATAAGCCGCAATGCCATTACATTCTACTGTGTTTATAAACTTGATGTTCATTGGCCAAAATTGTAGATCATGTAGCATGACTCTTACTTGCTGATCCACACATGTCTCGTTGAACTATAAACCATAGTGTTTACTTTTGATTTGCTATAATGGAACAAAGCACAGCTGGAAAATGGGCTCATAAATATTTGTCCATTGAGGAGACAATTGAAAGTTCTATTATGAGAGAAAAAAGTAGTGCAATACTGTCACTCCAACTCATGTTGATGTGCATGGATTATACTGTAATAAGATGCAAATTTAGTTACTGCATTTTGCTTATCAGAGTTGATACAAAATGTTTTTGTACTAGAAGTTTTCTTTATTTTTTAATAAACAATAGACGCACAAATTATATCAGTCATTTTTTAAAAAAAATCACAATATATACTGCGTGCCTTTCATGTTTTGAAATGCAATACCAAAATTACCTCTCATCAAATCTTCCAATCAAGACTGCACTGTAAAAGCAGGGCATGACAATAATCCTTGCATTTGACCTTATTATGTTGTCAATATTTCTCATAGCGCTTCACAGGATTTACGATAAAATGCATGCTTGTAGATGAACACAGCAGCTAATTTGCGCCCGGCAATTCCCACAACAGCCATGAACTGAATGATTCATTTTATCAGGAGGAGTGTTGGCCATAACACCGGGAAAAAAATTCTTCTCTTTTCAAATAGAAGATTGTACGGTCATGCATGCGACTGCCGGGAAGGTGGAAGGCGAACTCGATGGACCTTGGTCTTTTTTCATCTAGCATTTCTTATGTTCTTATGTTCAAATAGTGCATGAAATCTTTAATGTCCAGCTAAACAGCAGACAGGATCTTGTTTTTTTAATATCTCAATTGAAGGACAGTGTCTATGACAATGCAGCATTTCCCCAGTACTGCAATGTAGTTTTAAACTATGAAGTCTTAAGTTCTAATTTTTAATCCACAGTTTGAATTCCCAAACGTCTGACTGACAGTGAAAAGTAGTATGAACTGAGACAGACTGACAGTATTATGGAGCATGGATGGCCCACATGCATGACTATTTTACACATGCGTAATGTGACTCATGGGCCACAAGTTGACCTCCCTGCTACAGAATATGGATGGTATTAATGATTCATTCATCAAGGGCAAACAGATATAGCTAATCATGATTTCTACTTTGTGACCTATTTATTTGGTCCATATTGAACATTAGACATCTTTCTTTTATCACTCTCCTGATCTCATAGCTTGGCACCATCAGCACATTTTTAAATAATCAAAGAACTTGCATGCAGATCAATAATGCAAAATCACACAGACTGTTCTGAACCAAACTGTTAAATTAGCCCAACTAGTCCATGCCATTTGGTTATACTCTGCATGATCTACGACCCTTCCTAATTCCTTCTCCCTATACCTCCTCCCAGCCCCCTCTGTTTCCCTTCTCCTCATGTAGTCAAGTTAACTTTTATATCCTAGACCCCTCGTGTTAATTTCACAAGAATTGTTAATTTCATACATCTCTGGCACAACTATAATTATACAATTCCTTGCATTTGATGGAGCGCCTTAGCACATAATTGAGACGTCTCAAAGCGCTTCACAGAATATACTGTAAAGTAAATTAACTATATTTTGTGGGCAAAACGCAATTATCTACTGCAGTGTCATTTAACATGGAACAGATTGTTGCCTAAAAGTGCACGCTGAACCCCATTTTCTATGTCTTTCAAAATATAGGTACACTGCTTCATCCGGAAAAAAAACAAACCTCGAGCAAACTGGAGCAGTGAACAACAACCTATCATTTCATAACTGGATCTCATGGCAATTTATCATTGATTTTAAAATTACAAACACAATCGATTATCAGTATGTAATGCACAGAATTTATCACAATTTAAGTACTACAATGTATCAGCTGTGTTAGAAAAGCAACTTTTTTTCAGGTTCATAAACAATGTGTTCTGAGTGCCATCTAGTGGAAATAGATGGCACTCAAAACATCCCATCTCATTCCAGTTATCAGCTGACTAATATTGCACACTGAATTACTGTATGGTATTCCTGGATATGGGTAAATGTTCTCTCAAGTGAAATAGTATTACTTTACAGATAATATCATCGAGTGTCAAAGGTATTTATGTGTAGTCCCTTGTTTATTTACTTTGCCCACAAAAACAGTCATTTCCATGTTGACATTTGTAGTTTAGTGCTTCGAGTTGTTTGGACGTGGTCCTAATCCTACTCCCTCCATATTGTTTGGATCCACTAACTCGCATTCTCCATCTCAATTTATAAAATCAGCGTTAGCATTTACCTCTTTCACTGCTCTCTCGACCATCTTTCCTCCCTTTCCCTTTCCCGCCTCCTGCCTCCATGTCCAGGCACCTGTAAAGTTCTTTAAATAAGTCATCTTCTAAACCTAAAGGGTGCTAAATAGATGTAAATCATATTGTATTGTAAATATGATTCCTTCTTTGAAAATACAATTTCTTCTTTGCTTGATCTACCCATTAAACCTTCAGAACCCTGAAATTCACAACACGTAAAGGCAAATTGACCCTCTCACTACAGTGTTAAACTACAGTTTAACATACAGAATTAGAACAGCCACTACAACAACAATTGAGTTCAAAGTCCTGACGTGGGCTTGAACGCACAACCGACTGAGTCAGAGGTGCGAGTCCTACCAACTGAGCCAGGCTGACACCTCATACTACTAAGTGCAGGAAATGTAATGATGCATTCACAGGTCTGTGTAGTTTCAGCAATGTACATCAACAAATCCACCTCACCTACTGACGAAGAATTTCTCGCCGTTTATCTTCAATCGAATAGAAATGTGAATGGAGGCCTCAATGTGCTGGAATACAATATATCACAAACTAACTTAAGGCAGAATTTTTTGAATTTGAAATCTAGGGGGATAATTAACAGCATTCCTTAATTAGCCATCATAGTTAAAGACTAACATACATTTTGCTCCATAGGGCTAGAAAATGTGGTATGCTATGTGATAATTATCACCAGTAAAATGCATCAAGTCACCTGCATCATTTTTGTACATCTAGGCTTGACTGAGCCAACTCCCTGCTTGTCAGCCTTCCCAGCTCTTCCCTCCACAAGCTGCAGATCATTCAGAACTATGCAGCTCATGTCCTCTCCCACACCACGCTCCATGACCCTATCACCCCCACCCTTACCCAGCTCCACTGGCTTCCCATCCCCCAGAGAATAGAGTTCAAAATTACCCACCATTATCAACCTGTCCGCTCCCTCTGTTCAGCAGGTTCTGGCCTGCTCCATGTCCTCAGCCCAGGCCACCCCACCATTGGCAGTCGGGCCTTCAGCTTCTCTGCCTCAACCTTTGGAACTCCAGCCCACGTTCCCTTCACCTTGCTCTCTCGCTTGCCTCCATCAAGGCACATCTCAAGACCTTCCTCTTCGACCAATTCTTCAGTGATCCTCCTACCCCTGCCACCCCTCCTGATCCCAATTCCCTACTGAGGTCCAAATCCCTGACTGTCCAGTGCCTTGGGATGTCCTCACAACGTGAAAGGTGCTATACAAGTGTAATTTGTTGTGGTTGTTGATGATAAGTTAGAATAGTAGGAAACCATATTAAGGCCAATGTGTGGAAGTACTGCTGAGGCTTAGTGGTACCCAATATTAGAGTTATATAAGAGAA